GAACATATTAAATGTACTAATTGTTAGTGACCGAACTATCACAGTGAAAAGAAATTAGCTGTTGGCATGTGACTGCCCACAATCTAAGAGGAGAAATAACTCTTCCTTCAATCACTTGAAACTTCCAAGATTAATCTTAAATAAATCTATTGTAAACTAAAAAGAAAGTTGATATTATGAGTTGGCATCCTATTGTTGAATACTGTATGTTATATTGCAGTTTTGCAGTAATTTATTGGCTTTTCAGTTAAATGCAATATGTCCTGATAGCCCTTTCTGAATTTTACCCCATACACTGAAACTATTTCAAACAGGAATCAACTGTATAAATAGATCATTTCCAACATGACAAAAACACAGGTAGTAAGATAAAGATTTCAGGTTGTAAAGTTCTAGTGATCCTCCACACTATCAACTTGCACCAACTGCCACTGAAACCTTCATTTATGCCTTTGTAACCTCCCGACTCGACTTCTCAAACAGTCCTCGTCAGTCTACCAGTTCTACCATCCATAAACTCCAGCTGATACAAATGTCCACCAGGGTTCTCACCTGCACCAAACTCCTTTGCAACACAAGTAAAATCATTGTAAAAAAATAGCAAAAAGATAGGATTCAACAGTGCTCTACAGTGCTCAAATTAGCAAATGACCACAACAAATTATTTTCCAGAACAGCTTTGCGCAAAACGGTTACACCCTTTTCTCTCTACTCTCCCTCCTTATCAGTTGTCTCATTATGAATAATTAGTCCAAATAACACTGAGGTCAGAAAAACACGTTTTCCGAGTACGATTTCTCAGAAAGGACAGTCAGGATGCAACACATCCTGGGATAAATCACAAAGAATTATCACCTGTTTCCAATTCAGTCACCAATCAAACACACTGGTTAAAGTCAATGTTTTTTCTCATGCAATGAAACATTTCTCCCCATGGAATCTCACATTCAATTCATTCCCTCTCCCAGATGAAAAGGCATTCAGAAGCCTTATTACAAACTCAGCCTGGTGCTAAAAAGTCATAATTGACTTAATTTTTAGAGCACAATATCTAAATGTGGATATTTGAGCAAATATGTACATTGCAAAAACAAACTTAAACAGCAAATCCAAAAGATCCAATCAGGTAGCAAAAGATATGACTTGCCCTCTACACAGTCATACTTTCACAAATAAGCAGTAACTTGAATTCTGTATTTCCAAAAGCAGTTAACAATAGAGCAACCTTTTCAACTGAATATAAGTCTATAACAGTATGAAATGCCGACTCAATTTGGGTTAAGATGACTGGGAAAGAAAGGGTTAGAAAAGAAAACGTAAAGGAGTTTAGAACAGAAGCAAATTAGATAAGAATTACTTTAGGAAATAATGTTGGGATACATACGATTGGCAGGATGGTGGAAGGCGAACTGAATGGACCTTGGTCTTTTTTCATCTAGCAATTCTTATGTTCTTAAGCATACAAATCATAAGAAAACTATTAGCTATTAAAAAGGATTTCAGTCTATGTAGATCAATAAAGTTCATTTGACAAAATCAAGCCAACTTTCTATCAAACCAGTTAGTGTGAACATGGCACAGTAATGGCAGGATTGATTGGAAGAACTATATCAGTTTCTACAGAGGACTGTAGAAGTTCTCACAAAATAGATCTGCAGTCTTTAAATCAGCAGGCTAACATGTATTGGCTGAAAAACAGATAAACTGGAGACTTATTCACCACACAACTGCAATCTCACACCTCAACAGTCGCATTTGAATTTATGATCAATTATTTTTAATCCATGTTAATCTATGGAGGAATTCTTTTTGGTCATATGAGTGACTGATATGCAGAACCCCATCATCATGCTTCAGCATATCACAATCTGATAAGAGTTCAATGCATGTTATCTACACAATAATATCCATCCTGATCTACGTTGTAACACAAGTTAAGAGTGGCTAAAGGCCACGTCACCTATGTATTATGCCTTTTTCTAGTGAAATGAAACAAACAAAAACTCTGTGAGAACCGAAACAAATCAACCGTATTTCCCACCCTCCTCTGCAACACAATAGTAAGCACTATTCTGGAGATTTGGGTTATCTGCTATTTCGAGCGATCCTTGGTACTGTCTACTTAAGTGTAGATGTGAACTCTGTTTACAAAACAAGTCCCACAAACATCCTTTTAAAGGAAAAGCAGGAATCGTTATACCGCGCAGCAGTTCCTAAAGATTTGCTAGAAAATATTTTCACATTCACCTGGATCCCTTTGGGAGCAAGGCAGAAAAATACAAAGGAGTGGGAACTCAGATAGGAAACTTTACACGGTGAAAACAAAACAGTGTGACATTTCTATAGAAGGAAGGGGAAGTTCAGTGAACCATGAGCACTACTTTTGGCTTAAACTCTATTTATTTGCCATTTTCACAGCAAGATTGGAAACTTTACTTGTAGTATGGATGCAGCATAACTTTTTAACCGACTGGTTAGTTTCCCCTTACATGCAATTAGCATCACAAACTACTGTAAGACCTTTGCTTCTTTTCCTCATAAAATGGGGCTGATAAAATTGGCATTTTCTTCATGACTGTTTGCAAGACACCGCTATACACAAATTAGTTGCCAATAAAAAGTCACTGCATTTTATAGTAAAATCTTGTGAGGCGCTTTGAGACATCTCGACAACATATGGTACTTTATCAAATGTGAGGATTATTATTATATTATTTCTCATCTATCTCCAGGTTTTGTGCCAGCAGTCTATAGACCTGTGCTGTCAAGGGTTATTTATTATAGGGAAATATGGTTAATGAGAAGGGTGTGTGTGTGTGCATGACGTGGGGGAGAAGGAAGCGGAAGGTTGCATTCACAAAGAAAACTGCCAGGAAAAAGTCAGCCATAATTAGATCACACCACGCATACGCAACGAAAATTTGCTTTGTACAAAATTGGAAGTCATCCCATTAAAAAGCAGTCCCTTAGAACCATTGCTCCATCACACCCACAGTGGTGAAAAAGTAATTTTAGAATCAGACCATTAAAATGCATATTCTGTCAGTTTGGTAGAAAAAAAATCACTTTGGTAAAAATATAGCTAGCTTTTCGTTTTTTTGTTTTAATCCCTAACCAAAATTTCTGATGAAGGTGCCAAATCACACATAGGTATGGCTCAAAAGATTGCAGCAATAACCCTCTCTGGTAACTGGCCTAAAATATCAAACACTAGCTGAAATGGCCCAGACCTTGAAAGTCTGGGAGCTATTTGGTTGTAGAGTCCATCACATCTGAACCCAAACCTGACTTGACATCCAGACTTTAAGGAGGGGGTTACTGGATGGGATCAGGAAGCTTTATCCTTCACATGCCTGATCCAACACTAAACACAGAACTGCAACTTAGAGTGCAAACAAAAAGCAAGGAATCAGACTTGAATCCTTCCTGGGGTCGCTCAGTTTGCTCATTGCTTGGCTTCTAACAGACTGTTGGGCATCGCAATTTTAAATGTCTGCTGTTGTGCTGAGCCTTTCATTTCAGAAACGGGCAACGATCAAGCTGAAATCTGTAGCAATAATACACCTTAATTGTAAATGTGGTCATCCAGTCATGCAGTATGTTATATAAAAAANTTGCCACTGATGAAACTGCAGTCCATCACGCTCCTGCCCTAATTTTTTACATTAAAGAATTAAATAGCACAATAAATCATGAAGAAGTTGGTTTCATATTATTACTATTGTTAGAGGCTTTTCGATTTGTAAACGAAAAACACAACAAAAGATAATAAAACAAACTAGGCCTCTTGAGTCAGGGTTTAGCCAGATATCACAGAGGGATGAAACAAGGCTGACAATTCCAGAGGTCCAAACCCTTTGTAAAATGGGGGAGGGCAAGAAAGAAAACACGAAAAACTCCTGGGACAAGGAGTTAATGAACTGAAATACAGCACTAAGGTGCAGTCGGTGATCAATACAATGGAACAGGAAGGAGAGGAATAATACTCATATTTGTGGGGTTAAGAAGAATAAATGCAATATGGGGTGGTGGGTGGGGTGGTAGAAATCAAGGATAATACTGTTATACTATGGGAGATAAATGTTATACTTGAGAAGGTGGGTGTCAAAGAGGGTTTTCTTGGTGATACAAGTGCCATAAGGCTGGTGGAGTCAGTACAGTGTACTACGGTACAGTGTAATACTGAAGGGATTGTGTATAATACTGAGGCTGGGAGACAGCATTACAGTACAGTAATAACTGATGTGTGTGTGTGAGGGGGAGGGGGGGGGAGGGAGGACAATAACCACTATAACACTAAAAAGATTGTTCATAATGAATGATCCCTTACTCCGGTGGTGGTGGAGAGAGGGAGGGGGGGAGAGGGAGGGAGTGAGAGAGGGAGGGGGGCAGAGGGAGGGAGGGGAGAGAGGGAGGGGGGGGGGGAGAGAGGGAGGGAGAGAGAGAGAGGGAGAGAGAGAGGGGGAGGGGGGAGAGAGAGGGAGGGGGGCAGAGGGAGGGGGGGGGAGAGAGGGGGGGGGAGAGAGGGGAGGGGAGAGGCAAAAGGGAGAAATATTGTACATGATAAGAAATGGGATGAGCACAAGCGACCCGGGGAGAGGGAGGGAGTTACTGCCCGCCGGCTGCTGCTCGACACCGGGACCCCGGAGAGAGTGAGGGAGGGGGGGAGTGAGGGAGGGGAGGGGGGAGAAGGTGAGAAAGACTAAAGGGAGAGAAAGAGAGAGACTAAAGGGAGAAAGACTAGAGAGGGGGAGCAAAGGGAGGGAGGGAGGGAGAGACTAGAGGGGGAGAGAGAGAGAGACTAAAAGGAAGGAGGGAGGAAGAGAGGAAGGAAGGAAGAGAGAGAGGGAGGGTGAGATAAGATAGATAGATAGAGGGAGGGAGAGGGGGAAGAGAGAGAGAGAGAGAGAGAGGGAGAGAGAGCGAGGGAGAGGAGGAGGAGGAGGGGGGGAGAGGCGGACATTACCGGGTGGGGGAGAGGCCGGGGCCCTCTCGCTTACCTCGCATACTCGACGCCAAGAGAAGCAGCAGCAGGGCTCGGAGGGGCAACATGGTGAGCGGCCGAGGCCTGGAGCCCGTCACTGCCGCCGCCGCCGCCATCATCATCACCGCCGCCACTACAGCCCCAGTCACCTTCTTCTTCTTTCGTCTCTTTCTATTTTCCCCCTTTCTTTCTTTTCTTTCTGAGGCGTTTCGTCGAGTGGGGACGCCGGGCGGGCGGGCGGGAGGGCGGGCGGGTTTCCTGTCGATGGCTCTAACCGTCCGACGTCAACCGCCGCCGTTCAACCTGTTCCTGGAAACGCCGCGATTCCCCTCCTCCCCACACCGGCCCCGCCCCCACACACCGGCCCCGCCCCCTCCCCCCCAACACACACACCGGCCCCGCCCCCTCCCCCCAACACACACACCGGCCCCGCCCCCTCCCCCCCAACACACACACCGGCCCCGCCCCCACACACCGGCCCCGCCCCCTCCCCCCCAACACACACACCGGCCCCGCCCCCACACACCGGCCCCGCCCCCTCCCCCCCAACACACACACCGGCCCCGCCCCCACACACCGGCCCCGCCCCCTCCCCCCCAACACACACACCGGCCCCGCCCCCTCCCCCCAACACACACACCGGCCCCGCCCCCTCCCCCCAACACACACACCGGCCCCGCCCCCACACATCGGCCCCGCCCCCTCCCCCCCAACACACACACCGGCCCCGCCCCCACACACCGGCCCCGCCCCCTCCCCCCCAACACACACACCGGCCCCGCCCCCACACACCGGCCCCGCCCCCTCCCCCCAACACACACACCGGCCCCGCCCCCTCCCCCCCAACACACACACCGGCCCCGCCCCCTCCCCCCCAGCACACACACCGGCCCCGCCCCCCCACATCGGCCCCGCCCCCCACACCGGCCCCGCCCCCTCCCCCACACACTCACCGGCCCCGCCCTTCTCCCCACTGGCCCCGCCCCCTCTCCCCCTCACACACCGCCCCCCCTCCCCACTCTCTGTCTCACTCTCCAATCCGCCTCCGCTGCCAAATACAGCACCAAGGCTGCTCGCTTAAAGGGGCAGCGTCCCTGCCTCGTCCTGTGTCTGTGTCTCTGTGCCACACTCAAAGCCCCCCTGCTTGCTCCACCCCCGCACCCCCCCCCCCCCCCCACCCAAAGCAATGGCCCACAAAATATCCAGCCTTGACGGCGCAGTGTCTGTGTGTGCAAACCAGCGCCAGTGTCCGTCGATCGTTTCTGGACAGACGGATTAGATGGATGTATTTGGCGAAACGCTTTGTGCCGCTTTGAAGACGCGACAAGGCGCTATGTCAAACGCAAGGATTATTATTGTTGTTGTTGTTGTTGTTGTTCCGTGCAATATTGGTGGAGTCCTGTAGCTCAGTGGTTAGAGCACTCGCTTTGCAAGCGAGAGACCTGAGTTCAATCCCAGGCAGAGGGCGAAACCTTGGGCAAGTTTCCTTACTCCACACAGAGCCTAATAATAATCCCTCCAAAACCAAAAACAATAATAAATTGGTCATTGGCCACGACTGTTTGTGGGACATTGCTGTGCACAATTGGCTGCCGCGTTCGCCCACAAATATACAGTCAATTCACTTTACATTGTGTTCTGTGAAGCGCTTTGGGACCTCTTCCCGACGTGAAAAGCACTATATCAAATGCAAGGATTATTATTATTATTGCAATCGCTTGAACCTTTTCCCGAAGGCAAGGCCTCGCAGAGTCCGACAGCTCTTTTATTGGCTTTGCTCTCTCTTTCTCCATACATATATGACCCCCCCCCCCCCCCCCACCTCCTGACCCCCTATAAAATACACTTGACAGTAAATCCTGGGAAGTCATTTGAGATCTCCTCCCAGCATGAAAGGCCCTATGTCAAGTGCAAGGATTTGCAAGGATCTGACTCACGCACCATTTGTGTTTCTACAACACTGGGTGTAACCCACATTTGCTCATGTTTGTTCTGTTGACAGAGGGACAGAAGTTATATTTTGCAAGGAAATGTTGCAAGACAGGAATGATTCCAAGTTTCAAGCATGTCAACTTACATAAACAACCCTGAAATATTCACATTGCAGTGCTGGCAGAAGCTATGTTTTGAACAAAGTTGCAAATATAAGCAGTGCTATTCTGATTTCAAGGTATTCTTAGGTTGCCAGTTCTACTATAATAATAATGTTTCATTTGATATGGAGACTTATCACATTTATCGAAACAACTCAAAGTGCTTCATGGGATTTACTGTAACTAACTTGTTTGACTTGGAGGTTATTATAACAGTGTAACCTCTATATCAGATTGTGGACACATGGGAAGAATCTTGTTTTTTGCGAGACAATACGTTCCCTTTAAATCTGTAGTGATATTTGAAAGATTCCCCGTAGCAAAAAATATTAAAACAATTAAGGAGCATTGCCAGCTGAGAATTTGTTTGTGTCAAAACAGCAATGTTAGTACTCAACTTTAGCCACAGGGGACTGGTAGCAAGTGGTATACATTGTTTACAAGACATGAATCAAATATTGCACTTTAAATTGTTTTTATTTTTCCTTCTCAATGTTTCATTAAATTACACACCATGGATGTGTGGAATTTGCCATTATTGGGCAAATATTTTGCAGAGTGCGAGTTAATGGTCTTTTGAAGATCATTGAGACAGTCAACTGTGTAAAAAATGAGTTCAAGATTTTGTTATGAAAGAACCTAAGTAATCCCTCTATATATTTTCTAATAGTTCTAATTTTTTTTACACAGTTTCTGTGAAAATTTGCTTCAGGTGCTGTAACACAATTTACTGTGAATCCTTTAGACAAGAAGTTCCTGACTATCACCTGCCACATTCTGGATGGATTTCAGAGTTAAGATTTATAGCTGGATGGAGACAGACAGAAAAATCCTTACAATAACAATAACAAACATTATCTGCCCAGGAAGCCCATAGATATTCAAGGATCTTAAGCATCAGTGATATAAACCCAAGATATTTCTGACTCATCCCTGAATAAACAACTGGCAAAAGTAAACGACAATGTGTTTGTCCAATATTTTGTAACATCCCATCAACATCTATCAAAGAGTTTATCGCAATGGCCCTTGACTTTTTTTTAACTTCACTCAGTGTGTTTACGTTTATTGGATACAGCAAAATATTTCCTAAATTGATATTTTTGTTGCATTACAGAATCAGTGTAAACAATCTTATGTTGACTTTTGTTGTAATTGTAATGTTCTTGAATAAACATTTTGCAGAAATGTTTATAGCACAATGTAAACATTTTACTGCATTGCAGAAACATTAACTTTGACAATACAGTACTTTTAATGTACTTTTTCTCACTCTTTCCAGCTCCCCCCCCGCCCCCCACTTCACAGCACCATTCCCCAAGAATGGAAAGCAATCATCGTCCAGATCTTTGTCAATATCATTCTTGAACCTAACATAATGATTTCCTCCCTAATGTTTGTTGTTAGGAATACCAACTCCTTCATTGTCAAGATAACAGCAATATCAAGAATTATTCATCATCATCCAGCCCGGGAAGTGCAGTTACACATTTGTATCCATTGCTTCACAGAATGGACATTTATGCAAAAAAACAAAATGTGGTATTTTCATCTGCAGTAACAATATCTTAACATCAAAGTTAATGAATACATTTTCTATATGTATTACCATTACCTCTATTTTTTGCCTTTGTATTACTTTGGGTTGAGGTAAGAAGAAATTATGTCATACTAAAAATTATACTTAAAAGAGGACAGTTTTGTGGATAATGGCACCGTTCAAGTTGGGAGGGCATCCCGAGGCGCTTCACAGAATACACTTTGAAGTGAATTGAATATAGTGTTGTAGGCAAACGAGGCACCAACGTGCGCACAGCAATGCCCCCCAAAACAGCCGTAAAGTAAATGACTAATGACCAAGTCAAAATGGGATTGATTTGGACGGCTCTTCTCAAAGAGTCGGCACAGACGCGACGGACCGAACGGCCTCCTTCTGCGCTGTATAATTCCATGAGTGTTACGTGAGGGATTGGACACGAATTGCAAGAAAATACTGCGGTCCCAAAGAAGGGGAATCTCATGACCAGACGATGGATCAGGGTATGCATTAGGGCGGCTTCAAGTCGTGCAACAGCACTTGTGCATAGTTAAAGCCCCTTTAAGCGAGTCGGGCTGAGTGACCGGAGCGCGTGCTGACCACCAGCCACAGACACTTCCTGCCAAATAGTGACCCTTTGTTTTCCTCCCAGGAGTGAGGGTTAGGGCCCACACTGTGGCCCTGTGCAGCACCGCACCGCACCGCACCGCGTCACATCAGTCTGCAGTCCTGGTTTTAATTTCTATCGAAAAGAGCACGTTTTACGGTTTATTTGCAAACGCACGTGTGTGTGTGTGGTGTGTGTGCGCGCGTGTGTGTATATATGTGCATGTGTGTTGTGATTGTATGTGTGCGTGTGTGTATGTATGTGTATATGTATGTGTGTTGTGCATGTACGGGTTGTGCGTGTGTTATGTATGTGTATGTGTGTGTATGTATGTGTATATGTATGTGTGTTGTGTATGTATGTGTGTTGTGTATGTATGTGTGTTGTGTATGTGTTGTGCGTGTATGCATGTATGTGTTATGTATGTATGTGTGTATGTATGTGTTATGTATGTATGTGTGTATGTTTGTGTGTTGTGTTACGGTATCTCTCGTTTCAAAAGGTCGGAGCGGCTTTATTGGCTACAGAAGGAGGAACACCAACAAAGCGCGGGGACTGTACCATAAATCCTCCCCCTAAAGAATGCAGTGAGGACTCGCAGTCAGTCAGTCAGTCAGTGGTCTGAGGACGAAGTAAAGAGCATTGTTTTTACGTCGCCTCTCAGGTGACGCTCTGGAGGCGGTGGCCGGGGCTCGTTTGTAGCCCAAAGTCGCCCAAACACCAGCCCCCAAAAGTAGCCCAATATTACGCACGGCCTCCACCTCCGGGTTAGCAGAGCGGCCGAGTTTAGGTTAGTGTGTGTGTGTGTTGCGGGTTTCATTTTACAAACTTAAGAACGAAGCCCTGTGGGGGGGTTTTTTTTGGTAACGCACAAGGAAAAAAAACACCCCCCCCCGCCCAATCGGGCGTGAACCCCGCCCAATCGGGCCGGACTGCGTGCGTGCGTGCCGTGCGTGCGCGCGGCGTGCGTACGTGCCGTGCCGCGCGTTGCGTGCGCAGCGTCCTCGGCGGCGGGGGCGAGCGGGCGGGAAGGCGCTGGCGGTGTCATGGCGGCTGCCGACCAGCGGCTCGCAGCCTTTTCCATGTAAACAGCTCGCCTGGCTTCTCCCCTTCTTTTCCCTCTTCCCTCCCTCCCTCCCTCCCTTTCTCTCCCTTCCCCCCTCCCCTTTCCCTCCTCCCCCCCCACCCCCTCCCCTCACACACACATGGAAAAGAATGAAAACGTGGAGCGGGGCGGCGCGGCCTTGGAAGCACCCGGAGCGGTTCGAAGCGACGACATCATCATCATCGACGGCGGCGGCGGCGAGCGGCCGAGGCGAGGAGCAGGAGGAGGAGGAGACGACGACAACGACGACGACGTGGACCGTTGGCAGTTGAAAGGCACCGGCGTTGTCGCCGCCAACTCGTGCGGCCCCGAGAGCGGGAGCTCGGCACCCGGCGCCGGGGATGCCGAGCGCTCGCCCGGTGGAGGAGTCGCCGTCGGGGAAAGCGCGATGCAAGGCCTCGGCCCCGGGCCGGCGGCGGTGGTGGTGGCGGCGGCGGCTCTCGACTCCTCGCTTCCCCGGGCGACGCGCGCGGACGAAGGCTGTTGCTTCGAGGCGCCCAAATGCGAGAAGGACCCGAGCGCCAGCGACCAGAGCCTCCCCGGCGAGTCGCAGAGCCTGGACTCGCTCGAGTCCTTCTCCAATCTGAACTCGTGCCCCAGCTCCGACCTGACCAGCGAGGGGCCCGAGGACAGGGCTCCGGCACCGGCTCCGGCTTTGCCGGGCGAGGACAGCGGCGACAAAGCCAAGCCGTCGAGCTCCAAGGACCGGTTCCCGGGGCAGTCGGTGTACCACATCAAGTGGATCAAGTGGAAAGCGGAGAATACGCCGGTTATCACGCAGAACGAAAACGGACCGTGCCCGTTGCTCGCGATTATGAACGTTCTGCTTCTGGCGCGGAAGGTAACGCACGCGTTCGTGAAACGTTTCACGCGGGGAAAGAAAGCAGTGTTTCTTGTCTTTTTTTTTAATACACGTCATGCCTCTTTTTTTTATACACACACACACAGCAGCGCTCGGTTTATATCTTCCGGGGAAATGTTTCTTTGCTTAAAAAAAGGCAAAAAAAAAAAACGATCCATTGTGAATTTAAAATACGCTCTTTTTTTTTTTGGATTTGTTTTAGATTAAGCTGCCGCCTATGATGGAAATTATAACGGCAGAACAGTTAATGGAGTACTTGGGTAAGACCACTTTTTTTCAGTACTAAAATGCAAAAGCTTGCCTCCCGATAGTGCCCCCAATGTGTGCTTTTTAAATTTGGAATTAACGTGAACCCACCTCTCTCTTCAATGCCTTTTTTTGCAATCGAAAATAATGGACTGCTGCCACTGGCTGCCTAAACTCACACATGCAGAATATCCTACAGTCTCTTGGGCGAGTTACTATGAAACTGTGTACGAGAATGAGATTGTGCCTTGAACCAGAAAAAAATATTGTCGTGGGTATTCTAGGAAGTGTTTATCTGAAACCTTCAGAACTTTAGGTTATCTTTGTTCCAGTATATGCACTCTCTATATCTACTCTGTGACTTGTATAATTGATATGACTTGTTAAAATGTGCATGTGAATAAATATTTGATATGGGTAAAATTCCCTTGGGTTGTTCCAGAAGAATCAGGTTAAATCCATTTCAAAAGCTCACAGTATAGGCCTTATGTGGTTCCTTAAGAACCCAGACAAATTAGTGATGGCTGACTGTTAGCACCTGGCTGTATTTTTGTATAGACACTTGTGATCTAGTATTCACTTTTTTACATCTGATTTGAATAAATGTGATCATTATGCTAACCTAAGCGAGCATGGGATGAGAAAAGGATTTTAGGGTGATGTTGACTACCCGGTTAGACTAGTTACAATTTGCTGTATTGTGAACTATCCTTTTAACGTAATCCCTTTCTTTTCTCTCCCCCACCCCCTCCCTGAAGCAAGTAAATACCCACAAGTCAAACCTTTGACAAGGTCAAACATCACTGTGAAACTCCTACCTGACTTATTAAATAGTGAAGGGAAAGCTGCAGTATATTCCTGCATTGATGTTAGTTGTTTATCTGAGATCAGTTTCATTCCAGATGTTATTTCCATTTAGTCCAAGAATGTCCTGTTCCATTGGGGGGTATTTTTATCCCCTTTGACTGCTATTTAATTTTATGTTTGTAGTTTATTTCTGAAAGGATTTTTAAAGAAATATCAGTATGATGGCTCACCTGCGCTTCCTGATAAGATAAAATATGTCTTGCTCCTCTTATTTGAAATGGCAATGTGACTTTGTTTTTAATGTGCTCATAAATATTGTTTTTTTTGTGTTTTGAAATTCAGCTAAACAGTGTTTAAAACAGGAATAAGTGTGAGATTATTGAGCCAACATATGGTAATTCTTGAATCCCATCAGACAGTGGCTATTTCCCAGGTAGAACCATGGTGGTTTTTAAAAGAAGATGAAATTGGCATGTTAATGGTTGTTATGCAAATATTGCACCAATTGGAAATGAAAAAATCTATTTCTGAATATTTCATAGTGTGGTTCTATTTAAACAACTTATAACATGAAATTATGTTTCAACATTGTTCAATATAATATACTCCAGAGAATTTGGATCAAGTTTCAAATGTTTACACATATTTGGCTGTCAGAACCTGTTATCAATGCTATAATTTTTGCTGATGCGAGCAGACTTCCTGTTGCAGCCAGGAACGTAGGGCAGCCTGGCTGCAGTCCATTCTGTGATTGTCTGGAAGCGTCAAACTTTCTGCAGAATTGATCTTTTCTTGGTCTTTTCCTTTACCCTTACCCATATTCCTTCATAGATGGGTTATGTTGCACTAGTACGGTCTGCTTATTCTGAATTTGAATATTAATACAACTGGGGTTAATAAGAGTGTTTCCTTAATTTTCTTTGGAATTTGAGTTTGGACAATCTCAAGCAGGTTCCATTAGGTCTTAGTTGCACAGCATGAAAATGCTCACCTATCAATTCTATTTGATAGGTGATTTATTAGTATGGGAAATGTTATACTGATATAAGGGAGGGGTTGTTGCCTGAGTTAAAGTACATCATAGAATATCTCACAGAGTTTTATTTTGCATTTGACTCATCCTCACATATACTTCTGCTGTTAGTTTTTCATGCTGTTACAAGAAGTGGGAAACATTTACTTTTTCCCAGCGATGATTTCCTCTCATGATCCGAGCCAAGAAAAACACAGGGTGTTAGCAGGGTAGGTCAGCAGATTGTTAAGGTTAAAAACCTCACAAACCTCATCTTGAGAAAATCCTTGGACCAGCATTTATTTTTAAATGTTTTAGCAGAAAGACTAAAACTGAAAAATAATGAGTTTTGCAGAAATAGCAGGAGTTGCTTTATAGATGCAACATTATAATGAAATGTATACATTGAAGCTAAATATAAGTAACAGTATTTTAGATGTGTTTTTCTGTATTCCTTCTCTATCCTCCTTTTATTTTGTTACGAAATGAACTCTCTTGTAATAGTTTCTCTACGTTCATGCCTTCATCACCTCCAGGCTCGACTATGCAAACTCCATGCTTGTCGGCCTTCCCAACTCCTCCCTCCACAGCTGCAGATAATCCAGAATTCTGCAGCCCGTGTTCTCTCCCGCACCAAACTCCGTGATCCCATCTCCCCCATTCTCGCCCGACTCCATTGGCTCCCTATCCTTCAGAGCATCCAGTTCAGGATCCTGGTCCTCACATACAAAGCCCTCCGTGGCCTCGCCCCACCCTATCTCTGTGACATCCTAACCCCCTACCAACCCGCCCATTCCCTCCACTCAGCCGGCTCTGGCCTGCTCCACATCCCCCGACCCACCCTCCCCACCGTTGGTGGGAGAGCCTTCAGCCACTCTGCCCCCAACCTCTTGAATTCTATCCCCCAGTCACTCCGCCTCGCCCCCTCCTTAGCCTCCTTCAAGTCCCGCCTCAAGGCCCTCCTTTTCGACCATGCCATCGGTCACACTCCTTCCCCTCCCTTCTCCCCCCATGACCCCAGCTCGGGTCTGAAATGCTGTACTCTGTTCAGCGCCTTGGGATGTCCTCCCGACGTGAAAGGCGCTATTCAAGTGTAATCTTGTTGTTGTTGCATATCAATATTACTGTGTGCTTCGACACAGTTGTAGCTCATTGAAGAGCTGTACTAGTATTGTTTTACAGTGAAACATGAATTGTTATATCAAGTTGTAGCATAATGATAATACTTGCATTTGATATAGCACCTTAACACATCGTTGAAAAGCGCTGTATAGAATATATTGTAAAGTGAATTGACTGCATTTTGTGGGTGAGATGAAAGCTGACTTGCAGAATTATGTGATCATGTCATACAAACCTTTCCCCCTGCCTGTTTTGTGGGTTTGAGCTTCAATGGTGTGTTGACACTAATTCAGTAATTCAAATTAAAGCAAATCATTAGAAATTTGAATTTGGAAAACGGTGTTAATATTTACATTTTTCTGCAGGCGACTACATCTTGGATGCAAAACCGAAAGAGATAACAGACGCCCAGAGATTAAACTATGAACAGGTACTAGTTTGTTGCTCATAATCTTGTTGTAATAGTGCTTGCCCAAAAACAAATAGAGCAAGAAATCGTCAATAAAACACTGCTAATGTTTATAATGAAACAAAACCAAGAGTAATGTAAGGAACTGTAGAACTTTAGCATTCTCTGAAAAAGAAAAATCTTGTTAAATGTTCACAGCTGAATTGATGCCACAGCTTTTCAATGGACTATTTAGTGTAACAAAGTGTATTTGCATTCCTGTAACAAATGTTATATTTGGTACATTATTAGTGATGTTATGAAGCCCTTTAAGGCATTTTATCCACATTTTAATCTAGTTTGCGGTCCGATTTTTCTTTCCACTCCTGAAGGCACTGATTAACGCAGGTGTACGGTTACGTTTCTTTTTTATTTTAATCACCCACCACACTTGATGGTTTACCAAATATTTGGTCCCTTTTGTAAAGCAGTACACTGTAATTGCATGAATCAGAATGATAAAAGCAATTGGCTCATCATATTTTGAGCTGTATAGTTTTGGGAGGAGTAAATCAAGATTCCCCCCCCCCCCCCCCACCCCCCCCTTAATAGTGATCAACAGGTCTGAGATATGTTATTTTGTTATCTGTTTCTGCCTTGTTAGAAAGCTTTTTCCTGCATCAGTTACTTATCTTTCTTTCATTCTATAATCCAAATCCTAAAACAAAGATTGATTGAGCATCTCTGACTATGCACTATTGTAGGTATATTTGAATGCTCTCTGGAGCACTTGAGACTTTATTTGAAAGGTGACAAATCAGCAGGGTGGAAGAAAATGTTCCATGACTGGAGAGATGAGATTACATTCTTGGAGCAGAAAAACAAGTTCTCTTAAAATATCTAAATATGATCATTGTTGAGGCCAATAGAATTGAGCCCATCACAAATTTGTCTAACTGGTTGGAATGTGGTTTGTCTAGTCTGGACTGTTCTACATTCAGGTACAGGGCGAGTAAACTGCTGGCACATTTGGAACTCATCCGTTGTTAAAGTTGAGGATCTGAGTTGAGGCTTTTCTGTAAGATTCTACAAAAGATGTTGCTGATATCAAACAACAGTCTTTATTTCTAAATGTTCAGTTGCATGTCACAGAATCTGTTAACTTGAGGAAATCTTGCGGGTCAAAGGGAAAATAACCTGAGAATGTATTTGGTCTACGTCAAAACGAAGACAGATTTGTACCAGTCTTTTGTACAATCTCTTCAGCCCCTTGTCCTTGAGTTATTTATTACAAAGTCCTTTATCAAGCTTGTGCAACAATACCTGTGTGTATTGTTTGTCCCTGTAAACAGTGCAAACTTTGTCCTTGACACACCTTTCAATACAGTGGTAAGGAAAATGACTGGGTAATCGTATAATACCCCCAAATTACGTAAAGCAAATTAAATTGAATATAATTTTTTTCTTACATAGTACTGTATTTACCAGTGAAGTGCTTTGAAATGTTTCAGCTATAATAGGTACTTTAAAAACGTAAGTTCTTTCTATAATGTTTACTTTTTTAAAAAATAATTGTAAAGCACTTTTTTAAGTCCACTTTTTTACACCATTATGCAATATCAGATGGAATGATAAGAACCTTTTGTGCCTGGAAATTGTTGCCACTGTGCTTATCAGTAAATGCATCCTGCAAGTTCAATTGCACTCTTACGCAATTTAATTTATCAAGTCCTTGGGATAATTTACCCTTTTAGAATAAAAGCAACTGTTTCCATTGCCTTCATAAATCATCTTGTGCATAAATGGAATTTCATTCCCAGCTAAAATCAACTTGCAATTAAGACCCATAATTTATCAGGAAAGTTCAGTTGAATCTTATTGGGTTTAACTGCATCATGGGATTTTTTTTGCAAGAAAACTGTTCAGGCATTGTTATTCATTAACTTGTGCTTTGCTTTTAAGTTTTTTTTCTTTCCCACAAATTTGCTGTAATTAGTGTGTTTGAAATGAGTAAAGGAGCTCCAATGCTATGAAGATGACTGTGTCACAACTATTATTAACAAATGCACCATTTAAAAATAAACAAATTGGGACTTGTTTTTACCATTCAAAAGGATTGGGCAATGTAATGAAACATGTGCTTGAGGCAAGTGCTCATCAGATGCCCAAATGTGAGAAACTGAAAAGGCATATCAGCTGGAAATACTTCAGCCTGAAATTAATATGTGAGATATGGGGAAAGATGTTACTAGAGGAATCCAAAAGCAGAAAATTGTACTTTCCTCCAGAGCCTGCATTTAATCTGATTTTTGAAGCGGGCGAGTTAGTTTGGGGAAAATGCATTGGGAGCCACAGTTTTCCATATTGTCCACATTCCAAGTATGATCTGTTTGGAATGGGCAGAATCTCGACAGTACTTGTGAAGTATTGATTTATATTTGACCATTTACTTAACCTTTATTATTATGGCCCTTAGGTTAACCTTTTTATTGCCCTTTCTATATCAAATTGGGCAAAGGGTATCAAATGTATGCAGAAAGTTCAGTACTCACATATTTATGAAGCTTAATGCATAATAAATGAAGAAACCATAAATCAGGCAGTGAAAGTATTCATTGCAGTCCTAACTGACATTGTTTTGAACCATTGAGAAAATATAAATTGGGTTGGATTGGTTAAGATGGGTTGTACAGTATTTTAAAATTAACCAGAATATTTACCTACAATGAATAATTGAGCATTTCTCACACTTTAAATCTTTACGGTATGTTGTTATATTAACCCTCTTGATTTATCTTGTGGGTATATTATTAAACTTAACCAATATGAAATATTATATGTGGCATATCAATGGTTTGATGGACTGCAGAAACTATAAATTTACCTGTACAAACTTACTATATTCATTTTGAGTTGGTATAGATTGAACATCCATTCTTCTGAATTAAAATCCTTTTTGTATGCTGCACAATATTGCTGCTGCTCATCTGTTTAGATGTAGTATATTGTACAAGGTGTTCAGTAGTAATAAGAAAGAAACTTAAGAAAACAATAATGCAGCAAATCAGTCTGTCAATGGGAGAAAGCTGATTCATAATGTTATGTGTAGGAGAAATAGTACATTAGATCAAATTATTAATAATGTACTGAAATGACATGCCTGTGATACAGTGCTATAAGAAACCAAGCAATACCAATGTATTCTGGCTGTTTAATAAAGATTTAAGTTCAGTTCTTATGGTTTTGACACGTGATTTATGTAAAAAGCATAAGCTGGGCTTTAAGCAGTATTGAAAATATTTGTACTCTAACGCAGTGTGCTGTTGACTTAAAATTGGGTTGGGGTGGTCATGCGTATAATTGCCAAAGCTTTGTGGGTAGGAATCTGGCATTTTGAATTTTAGGTGATTATTCTGAAACCAAATTTGTATGTCTAAACTTGCCTAATCTTCATAAACCATTTGCTATTTTTAATGGAGTATAAAATGATGCTCTCCAGCTCTCGCAAGGTAGGACTGTGCATTGCTGTGTTCCTATTCAAAGAGAGATAGACAAATACTTAGTTGGTGAGCTAAGGGGAATTATTTGGATTAGTATTACATTGGGTCTTCACAGAGCAGGACTTGGCTTGCTTCTGGCAAATAGTCAAGAACCACGGCCTTTGGGCACACTTCATGCACTATAAAAGGTGCATAACCCAAGATCCAGTGAAGGTGGTAATTGTATAAACTAAGATTACGACCACTTAGTTTGCACACCCTCAAGGAGAAGACAGATCCTTTTCTTGGCATTTCTTTGGAGATACTAATTTGAGTATCTTTACGGAGATGCTATTAAATAGAAACTTGCATTTATATAGTGGCCTTCACGCAGGGTAGTGACTCTGAGCAGTGGTATTGTTCATACAGGTCTTATTCATAAGATGTGTAAGAACAATACAAAAATGTCTCAAAGGTTCTCACTGCAAATTGTGATCAAGAAGCAGATCAAAGTATATGTAAGTGTTCAGGTGGGATTAACACCAGATACCTCAGAATGTCTATCTTAACTTATGCAAACAGGCTAACAAAGTAACAGCCAAATGGGAGTCCGAGACCTACAGCACAAGATGTAGTATATTACAGCAGACAGTGTAAAGAATCAGTGGTTCTTTGATAGAAAAGCCTATGGATTGGATCTGTAAGTATATTAAAAAAAAGTTAATGTTAAGTTTGAATATTAATGATTCTGAGTAGTACACTCCCAAAGCTATGTAAAAACTGAAGGCATTGAAGAGAAATCAGGATAAGGAGAAATTACCAACCAAGACTCAGTGATGGTTTTCCTTAGGCAGTAAAATACACTGACTCACTGATATCATCTGAGCCTTAAAGGCTAGGAAGTAATCCCCAGTGTGGTCTAAGCCAACTGGAGGAGGTACAGGTATACTGTGAATTCCCAGGTAAAATATCCAGGATTCCTGCCTGTGATCACGACCAACGAATGAATGCACGTTGGGTGAAAAGAGCTAGACTTTTTAAATAACAATGCCAGTACTCACTATCTTAGTTCAAGTACATTAAATACAACTTGAGCAAGGCTCCAGAGAGCTTTCGGTGACTGAATCTATAACCTGCATGTGTCAGTGTCTTCAGAAGAGAAAGGGGCTTACCAAATGGCTAAGCGAGTGCTTTGCCCCCTGTTCGAAAATGTTTAAACTGTTACATTAATGGAACACCTAATTAGCTTTATGCAGGATTTTCTGAATAAAATTTCCTGCATTGAGGAAAGCTTGTACTTTGTAGTTGATCTTGTTTTCAATCCTTTTGTCTTTCTGAACATTTTAAATCTTGAATTTTCCATCTGTGGTTTCTTTAACAGAACATGAGTGATGCAATGGCCATACTACACAAATTGCAGACTGGACTGGATGTAAATGTCAAGTTTACTGGTGTAAGAGTATTTGAATACACGCCTGAGTGCATCGTATTTGATCTTCTCGATATTGCACTTTACCATGGATGGTTGGTGGATCCTCAGGTAAGGAAAATGAAGAAGTAAAAGTTTTTTCTTTCTTGTAAGAGAATTCTAAATCTGCAAATTGCTTAACTCAGCTTTCAATTTTTGTGAGTTTCTTATTTGTATCCAAGCTTCCTTTCTCTTGGACCCTCCACAGGCCTTTCTTTGGCTAGTTAGGTACAACTGTGAGGGATACAGGGCTCTGCATCACTGGCAACACTTCCTTTCTATAATTGGTCTCCAGTGTTATGGAGTTAAAAATAGGGGAATATCCAAGGTTTTTTTTTCCCCTGCGTTCCTTTTCCCTTCAATCCCTTAGATGTAGCAAAACATCTCTGCAAAGCCCTGAACCTTGTAGCCTTGATTGAATCACAGTAGGTAAGCCCGATTGTCAGGACTGGTTTGATTGACACCCAACTGACTGGAACACAAGCTGCTTGTTAAGAAAAAGCTGTGGAACTGTGACGCACGAGTTTAGTTTTACAGAGCATACAAAAGTTGATAGAATTTCACATCCTCTAAAAAGAACAGAGAATGCAGTTACTGGATGTTTGTTGCCGTTTTATAATAAAAAAAAGTGCTAATGCTCTGGTACATTTAGACTCTTGAAGAAAATTTGTTTCAAGCCCAAGAAAGCACTGCCAGTAAAATGAGAAGTGTGAGTCAGAATGAAGAGCTATAAAAAAANTTAAGCATGTTCTAAAGGGCTGAACTGTTGGATGGAGTCAAAAAAAAATTATGGAAATGCAGCCCTTTTTTGAAATCTGAAATGTGTGTAATGGTATAGTCGTATGGAAGATAGGAGCTTTTAGGACTGTTATGCAAGTCCCTATTATGCATCTTTATAAAGCATTTATAATGTTGCATTTCAAGGCTTTAGCTCCCTCAGGTCTAACGTGACCCTCTAAGGCAGGGATAACCAACTTGCGGCCCACGTGGCTATTCTGTGCATCCATTTAAGTTAGCCATCCCTGCTCTAAGGTATCTAAACAGGAGAGCATCCTCCAGTGTCAAAGACTAAATAGTGCAGCATTTCAGCGTATTCTGCTATCCAACGGTTTTATAATTAACTTTCAGAAAAACATTTGTAGGCTTACAACATTTTCCTCTCTGGTCAGGTGAGTGACGTTGATATCGGGGTTTCTCCCAGCAGGAGTTTAACCATCGCTATCAAGACTGGGACAGATAACTGCTGAATGGACTGCTAAATGCACAGGAAGTTGGTTGGGTTGTGAGGAGGAAACTTCACCGAGGAGCAGAGAGAGAAAATGAAAGAATAATAACTTCTAAAAATGAAGTAATTATATAGACTTAAAGACAATCTGGGCCCACTGGTACCAGAGCTTTCCTTTCCTTTTTGTGATTACATTCCCTTTTGCTTCACAGAATGTTCTGCGGAGGTAGATAAGGATATAGTGCAAATGTAATTTGAAGTGTTCGCCCACAAAATATACACGGTTGCATCACTTTGCATTATATCCTGTGAAGCGCTTTGCAACATCTTACCGACATGATTAGGCCCTATATCAAATGCAAGGATTATTTATTTTCGATGTTATGAAAGGTGTGGCTAACTGGGATTCTGTGCTCCATTACAATTTATTTAAAGCCGGTGCAACCTCTAAGTACCAAAAATATGATGGCAGGAAACTGTGACTTGCACAGTTCTCTTGTCATGTTAAAAAGTCAAAAGAATTCACCTTAAGGTGTACTAGGCAGCCTGTTTGAAGTTGTGCATGATGCATTATCATGAATTTTCAAACTGATCAGTGATGAGCAGGAGCAAAGTGAAAAGTTGATGCATTGAATTTGCCTTAAACAGGAAAAAGGGACTTCAGATGCTGGACAGATAGAATTTATTTTCAACTCATCACATTGCAGGCCATTCCACTTGTTAATCTGCGAAGAGGTTTATTTTTAATTAAAGGGTTGTTTGTGTTGGAGAGAGTACAATTTGAGTGTGTGTACAACAGTTTTCTGTGGAGCATTTTTGTGTAACATGGAGCATCTTGAAGTGAATTCACAAATTGCATCAAAAGGGGTGTATGGGTCTGAAAGAAAGCCTCCTCGGCGTCTCAAATGTGATTTTCTGCTGATAATTCTATTCTGTAGAATGCTGATATAGCGAAGGCAGTGGGGATGTGCAGTTATAACCAGCTGGTGGAGAAGATTATCTTCTGTAAACAGTCAGAGAACAGTGAACTAGTCAGTGAAGGTAAGGGAAGAATGGCTTTTTTTTATTTTTCTTCAAAAGCAGTGGATATTGGGGAAGGAAACTGCTGAATTGTTTATTTTCAAAGCAAGTGTTGCCCAGGGTCTTCGAATACATTTCTTGCTCCTCATGCACATATTTAAACCCCTGCATTATTTGGAAAGATGGCTTTTTAAAAAAAAATGAACTAATTATAGTGACGCACATAACAGAAGGATCAGTTAAGCCAAATTATGACTTTATGCAAATTAAAAGTAACTAACTTCATGGGAAGTCTTATCTTTGTCCAGCTGAGTCATAGTAACATTGAAAGAATCTGGACATAATTAGTGCCTGGCTTACCCTCGTTCTGCCCTTGTATTACAGCTTAGATAGATAACTGTCTCTGGAAGTCATGGGGGCAACTTGATACCCTAACACTGGTAGAAAAGCATAAAAATTGGGGACCTTATGTTCAAGAAATATTCAGTGGAAGAGGACATCAGACAAACTGATGTGAATATTTATAATCTAATCCACTTGAGAAAGGTCATGGGTTGACAATCATTCCAGGTTTTTCTCTTGTGATTTCTATGGAAACTTATTCCTGTGCTGTGCACCCTGTTCTCACGATTGTTAATTATTTGTCTTCCTGTATTTTGCATGATTTGTCATCTTAAACTATCTTAGTCTTGTAAATGCTTCATTTCTCAGCATTCTAGCTAATGTGCCGCAATAAAACTAATTGTGTCCTGTTTTGCAAGTTATTGTGAAATGAATTATTTTGCTCTGCCAATTTTTCAAGAGTACTGAACTGATTCACACAATAAATTGGAAACAGTATCAATGGTGCTGTATGGTGAAACATTGCTTTCCAAGTTATTCCTTTTAGTCTTAAACAAATGCTATGTGAACAGAACATGCATTATGAATTCACCTGTAGAAATAGGAGCTTCCCACTTATCGCTTTACCAATTTGGAAAAGTCTAAAAAACAAATGGTCTTTCTTTGCAATGATATTGAAGCCATTGTGATGGGTTGATTTTTACAGGTTAATTCAAAGCTAATTATATTTTTCATTACTATTATCATCCTTGTCTTCGACTTCTCTGAGTTCTAACCTTAGGATAACAGGGTGTAATTTTAGAATTCTTAAATTGTGACTGATATCTCTATTAGTTCAAATAGTTTTTACCATGTGTTTCCATCGGAAAACTGCAGTAAACATATGGCTCCCAGAGTAGCTGCAATGGGTCAGACATTTAAGGAATGTTTTTGTGGGTGGGGGGAGAAAGACTGCGATTGTGGATAGATCAGTTGATTCCTCTGGAGATTCATGCAGTGCGCTTAATCATGAGAGCAGTATTGTTGTCTGAGTGGAACTGGCTAACTGAACGCTACCCAAAGCACAGGGTGAACTCTGAAAAATTCAATCCTATTTTCAAATATCTTTGTATCTACCACATCACTGGAGATGAAAGCAAAACTTGGCAGTTTGGGAAGATCTGAAAATACAATTGTAGAAATGTGGGTTTAAGTCACTTTCTAGTGGAAACTGTTTACAAAAAAAAGCGAAATGTTTAAAAATAGTGGTGCACACTTTTAGTCCAAATCCATTTTGCAAGAGAGACAGGCCTGTGCCTTTCTTTTCGGAGATCCATGCGTTCCTGGCTTGTAATGTATCTGAGATGACTAACTGTGGGTAATGTTTGTTTTGCTTTACTGGAATATTAATTTACATTGACTATTTTTTTCTATGTCCTTAGCATTTGTTGCAGAGCAGTTTCTGAACAGCACGGCAACCCAGCTGACATACCATGGGTTGTGTGAACTAATGTCTGGAGTGCAAGAAGGAGAACTATGCGTGTTCTTTCGCAATAACCATTTCAGCACGATGACGAAACACAAGGTATTGACGCTAACCAAAAGAAGTGAACTGTTGTGTTGATTCTTGTTGGAGTAAAAATGTGTTTGTTAGCATTTCCCTTGAACACAATAACCTGTGAAGGTTATAATTGGCCAGTTGTCTGTCAAAATCCTAATTTATACAGGAAACAGCTTCATTCGATTCAACTGGACCCTGAAATGAAATTAGATCATACTAAGTGGATGTTTTTATTGAAATTAGATTTGATGCAAGTGAATATGGTGCACTTTAAGTAATCTAGGATGTCCAGACCTTCAGATCTGAAACAGTCCATTTCCTCTAACATGAGTGATCATGTTTGCCATCCTAACATTTACCAAAGACTGTGTGTGATATGCTGCATTCATTTTTGAACTCAACTTTCTCTCCCTCCTCCCCCTTTTTTTNAAATGTCTTGAAATTTACACACCCAGGAGTTTAAATAGCAACGACCTTTGTTAGGGGAAAATTAATTTGCGTTTTTATTTCTCAATCGATTGGGGCTTCTGTGCAATATAAATCAGGTTCACCCCCTTAGAATAAAATCCTGTTGACTATGAATAGTGTACTGCAAGACAGCACCATCTGGCCATGTAATCTCGTACACATGATAAAGCAAGTCTAGATTTTTGTCCTATAGCTTTGGCTCAAGTACAACAACGTACGCCCTTTTGACGGACATTTTTAAGAAATGAAGGCTGTGTTCTCCTTATTGTGCATGGTCACTAAGCACTGAGATAAGAGCAGTAAATTGCTCTCGTCGTTCATTTACTTAAAAAGTCGAGAAAGACATGAGGTTATTGTTATCTGCACCAGTGAATACAAGTTTCTCATTAATGCTGAAAATTCGAGGAAACAGATGGGCTTTATTCAAATGTGGTTTAGAGCTCCTGCTGTGACCTGTATTAAGAAATGCACCAGTTGAATGAGCAAGCAAATGATGTTAATTATGTATTTTAACTTAAAGTGAGTTAAGTTAGTAATTTTTGTTTTCATTTTAAAATATTGAGTTTTTTTTAGAATGAGTGATTCGTGAAGAGACGACTTGAACCAACCATTTAATACTGAACACTATGAAGATTGTTATTATTATTATATTATTGACATTATTAATCACAAATCGTTGAGCATGAGATCAAAACCAGTTGAATTAAATGCACTTTGAATAATTCTAGTAACTGGTGCATTTAGATCTGTTAATAACTGCTTATTTTTTGCCCATTTTATTCCACAAGGTGCAATATGGTTATCCATGGATTCAGATATCTTCTAACTTGACAGATTTATTGATATGCAGATCTTGAGGTATCATTGACTTCAGGTGCAGTCTTATACAACCTTGTGGAGTCCTGTAGCTCTGTGGTTAGAGCACTCGCTTTGCAAGCGAGAGACCTGAGTTCAATTCCAGGCAGAGTGAAACCTTGGGCAAGATTCCTTACTCCACACACTTAATAATAATCCCTCTGAAAAATAAAAACAATAATAAATTGGTCATTTTCAGTCCATGACTGTTTGTGGGACACTGCTGTGCGCAATTGGCTGCCACGTTCGCCCACAAATATACAGTCAATTCACTTTACAGTGTATTCTGTGAAGCGCTTTGGGACGTCCTCCTGACATGAAAAGCGCTGTATCAAATGCAAGGATTATTATTATTATTTTAAAAACATCTGTGCGTTAGATCAACCGGCAAAGCTGCCACTGCAGAATTGTAATTTTAGCACGTAAGCACTGATCAGACCTAATTTGTTTATGGAGTTTTCTCCTAATGAGCCCTGAAAAATCTGTTGCTAAACTGTCTGTGTTGCTCTGAATTATTGTGGCTAATACCATTAGCTAACTTGTGCATTCAGGCATTTGATTGCACAGTCCAATTTGTTTATTGTTTTAAAGGTTCTCCAATTGTTTTATTTGATTAATTTCTCCTCTGGTTTTCTTCTCCTGCTGTATTTCATTCTGTAGCTGAGATTATGTGGACAGATGAGCTAGCCTCCAGCCCCCAATCCTGCTCATGAGCCAGCAACTTGAATATGCAGGCAACCTCTTCCAAAAGGTCACTTCCCACCATTTTATCATTTTCCTTCCCCGTGTTTTGTTCAACATTATTTTCTTTTGTGTGTGTCTGCATTACGGTCACGAACAAAACCTAGATAGATAGGCTTGTAAATTCAGATTGTTAAGAAGGACAGAATTCAAAAGCAGCATCTCACCTGGAATATAACAAACAAAATGTGTTATAGAATGAAGTGCAAAAAGATTAGGTCTAATGCTCAGGAAAAATTATGGCATCATCCAGAAAGGAAAAGGAAATAAAGGAAAAGTTGGAGAGGAGAAGCAAATTTGGGCAGTTTGCTTGTGTGTTTGGGCAGTTTCCTTGTGTTCTTGGACATTCCTAGTGATTGGCCGCAAGGGAAGGCGGATGGGATGGAGATCAGAGGTAATCTAGAAGCAATGCGGGCACTGGAAACTAGGGATATCGAGTGAAAGACAAGTGAAAAATCTGGGGTAAAAGAAATGGAGCCTGAGCAATCTCATTAAAAGTTTGTAGTAGTTAATACGCTGAGAGAATTGCTCTCAGTGTCACATCAGAAGCTTGTGTTTCTGGCAGGAAGTTCCATTGGCAAGCAATCGGAGGTCAAGTTTCAGAGATTTTCACACCAGCTCGTTTGTTCTCCTTCTCTTAGAGTGATAATTGTGATGTGTTATGACTCTCGTGGAAGTCTGCCAGCATCCTGCTGTTTTTGCTTTTAGAATAATGCAAGGTCACTCCTGGAGTGCAGTACTGCATAGTATGGACAGATTGCTCCGATTTCACTGAAAATCCATGGCTGGAGCACCATCTTTACACCTATCTTGGTACTTGTAAGCCTCGTTTTTTAGGCTGAATACGCCTGAAGTTTCATGCCAAACATTTAATACTGAAAACAAGGTCTGTTGGAGGAGCAAATGCTAAATTTTCGTGTAGAATAAAAAAAATGTAGATGTTGGTATGAGGCACTTGATGGTGAGAGTGTTCCTCGTTTGGAGAAATGGCGAATTGCTGCTTTTAGAGTATCTTTGGATTGAGCAACTAATGATACTGAGCAACATTTTGGGACAAGCACATTGTACACATATGCCCTGTATTTTGGTTCACTGTGATTCATTTAATACATGATGTGTCATTAAGTGGGAGACAGGCAATGGTCGTGTGGCTTTGTCAATTACCATTGGCACAATTTTATTCACTTTCAGGAAGCACACGAGTCCTGAATTCCCACCCTACACATGTCTCATGCAGGAATAGAGCCACATGTTTTATTTATCAACAGTACTGTTGATTGATGGCAGATATTCAAAACTACCATGAACAGGCAATATTTTTTTCTTAAGTTACAATTGTTTTTTGTTCCCGTGGAGGAAATGACCTGAGCGTTTGAGAGACTATTTACACCTTCATGCCAGCAGGAAAGCATTCCAAAAACCGACTGAAATGGCGTGAATATTTATTCATTGCAGTTACATAGCCCTCTGTGCTGCCAATTTTATAAATCATACCTTGAGGCACTGGAAATCATACCATGTCACTGTGCAAAGAATGCAGCAGTAGATGGCACAAAGCAGTGAAAACATTTCAAGTCTTACTGGTTTTGAAATGGTAGTAATTTAACAATAACTAAACCGCGCTATTACAATACGATCATAGTATGATCAAAGTTCAAACACTATCTTTATGCATATTTGGTTGCGAGTTTAATGTTAAACTAAAGTATTTTTAGTTCTGGATTTATATCACAGTTCCTCGAATGAAAGGGTTTTTTGAGGATTTGGAAACTTAGTTTCGAGCAACTGCTAATGGAGCTTAAAGGTCTTGTCCTTAACCATGGTCACAATAAAAACCTCAGGTTTGCAGAAATGAAGAGCAAACACAAATACTAGAAATGTGAAATAAAACCAGAAATTCTGGACCTGCACAGCAGGCAATCAGCACTTGGAATAATAATAATCCTTGCATTTGATGTAGCATCACATCATCGAGATGTTTCAAAGAAATGGAATAAATGGGCCATTTCCCCCATTCTTGGGTCATTTCCTCCATGGGAACAAAAAACAAATGTAACTTCAGAAAAAGGGTGCCTGTTCAAAGAAAGGCTGAACATGCTTGGTCTCATTTCTCTTGAAAAAGGATAAGGGGTGACCAGATAGAGGTCTTTAAAATTATCAAAGGTTTTGATAGGGTAGACATAGGGAAGGTATTTCCATTTGTGAAAACACAGGGGCCATCAACATAAAATAGTCACAGGGAAGTTTGAAGAAATTTCTTCACACGGAGTAGTGGGAATATGGAACATGCTACCACAAGGAGTTGTTGAGGCAAATAACATAGCTCGATAGGTACACGAGAAAGGAATAGAAGGTTATACTTGAAGGCTTAGTTGAGGAAGGGCAGGAGGAAGCTCATGTGGAATATAACACCGACGTAGACCAGTTGGGCTGAATGGCCTGTTTCTGTGCTGTATAATCTATTCTAAGATAGGTTAATGTTAGGGACAAGTCCACAAAATATACAGTCAATCCACTTTGCAGTATATCCTGTGACGTGCTTTTGAGACTTCTCGAAGACATGATAAGGTGCTATATCAAATGCAATAATTATTATTAAGACTATTTCAAATCAGCTTTGTTAGTAGAGAAAAAACAACTTTGGAGGATTTCTTACAAGTTCAGACTTAATTCATGTCTTAGGAGGTTATGGTCAATTGTCTACTCCATCTAGAGGAATGTATAAGAAGTGCACATTGAAAGCTAATTCAGTTTGAGTTGATAAACATTTGTTACATCCGTTGAACTTATTAAAAATGAATCATGTTTTTCCATTTGTTCATTAAACCTTCCATGTGGCGTTGGTGTGGATTTGCGCATTCCTTTTTTTTTCAATCTCACATTTTAATCTTTAGATAAAATCTCAAAGCAATCAACTTTTCAAGAGTTAACCTACCTCTGATACCAAAAACATCCTTTATGTAAAAATTTTTAAAATCAACATTTCTTCCATGTTTTCCATTTCATAGGATCAGCTGTATCTACTGGTGACAGACCAGGGTTTTCTGACGGAAGAGAAGGTGGTTTGGGAGAGTTTACACAATGTGGATGGAGATGGCAATTTCTGTGATTCTGAATTTCACTTGAGACCTCCTTCTGACCCAGAAGCGGGGTACAAGGGGCAGCAGGATCAAATAGATCAGGTACTCCATAAAGAAAAAAATTCTTAAATTCCTCCCAATATTTTTGTAAGGTCTACATTCAACCATCAGAGAACAGAGATGAATTTTAAATCTCCCACACACCAGACTCCTGTTATCAATGCTGTGCTTATCGTGCATTGTTCATCACCAGTTGCTTCTTCATGTGTTCTCAATTTTTATCAAATTCTGAAAAGTTTTCAGCAGTTTGGTTTCTTACAAGGGATTTGTAGTTTTAGTACTTCATACAGTTTTTCATCTTGTGGTTCTAAAACACTTCAGGGATTTTTGCTATTGCAAAAAACGTATGGTTTAGTAGACAAAATGTTGCTGAATGTGCACATCCAGCTCTTTGGGACGTCCTCCCGACGTGAAAGACGCTATACAAATGTAATTTGTTGTTGTTAGTTAGAATTTGGGCACTTGTATAACCTAGACTTTGATCAACTGCATAAAATCAGCCTCCACACTACTCATTTCACGTTGGTGCAGGCTCAGCACATCAAACATTACATTAAACTGTTCAGGGGTTTGCTGATGATGTTTATTTTTCAGGACTATCTAATGGCATTATCCTTGCAGCAAGAGCAGCAGAGCCAGGACATGTCCTGGGAGCAGATCCCTGAAGGAATCAGTGATCTCGAGCTGGCAAAGAAACTGCAGGAAGAGGAGGACAGGCGAGCTTCTCAGTTCTATCAGGAACAAGAACAGGCAGCGTCTGCTCAAACCCAGGTAATGTTCAGGGGGACTGGGTTTACAGTCTCAAATTAACATTTTAGTTTTTTGGAAGCTTTTACCCATAGTGATTAAATGTACAGGCAGATTTTTTTTTCCAAATCGCATTTTTCACTAAAGATGTCACTGCACTATATTTCCTTTTCCATACAATGCCTTACATTGTTGTGCTTCCCCTTGGAATGACGTGCTAAGTTACGGGTTTCTCATAATCGCCACCTATGCCACTTTGATCAGCCAATTGAGCAAAGCTCTATCCAGCGTATGATCTCCAAGGATGTTGCAAAACGTAGCCACTTGGTGACAAACCTGCTATGCGAGGCTGGATTTAATCTCTCACCTCGCGCCCAAGTTTCATGAGTTAAAATGAAAAGGTTTATTTCGAGCATCAGTAATAGATTTTTATTTTTCCATCTTCTGAAATTGCAGCAAGGGCAGCAATCGCAGGCGGCAGCAGCAGCCACCACCACTGGGAGACAGCCTGGGAGCAGCGAACGCAAACAACGGAAAGAACCGCGAGAGAAGGAAAAGGACAAATGTATTCTCTTGTGACGGGGGTGAATTTTGCCAGGAACTAAGTGCATAACCCCTAAAAAGAACCTGGTGACATGCCGTCTGTGCCTGATCCCTAATTGTTCATATTTTGAGAAGAGAAAGGATGGCTTCTTTGATACAGTTGGCCAAACTTTGTTGTATGTTGCACAATGCACTATATTCATAATGGAGTTTCTACGGTATTGCTTGATGCGGTTACATTTCAGACATATTCATTTGCTTAATGCAGAAAAAGCATTTTGACATGTAACAGTAAAATCACAGTGCCTCTTTTCTTCATTATTTGGCATTAACGCCATCAGTTAATAAGCTATTTTAACTAATGCTGCCTCCGTTTTATTACAGGACATGATGGGCAGTTTGGTTTATTTTTTCCCCCCCATTTGCTTACAATAAATGGCAATAGCTAGAATATGCTCTTGAGCTTTCATTAACTTATAACTGTACCTGATCTAGATGTTGAAACAAACTTTTAAAAAAGAGAGATATTTAGTAATCGTTTCTAAAGAAGTTAAAGATGTGTTGACAGAAAATTTAGTGAGATACAAGTGTAGGGGTAGAAAATCTTGTCTAGGAATTTTTTTAAAAAATTCCCTTGAGCTGGTTTTGCTGTAGAAGCCATAATAACCTTCATATGAATAAGGAGGAAAAAGTAATGGTGTTACTCTTGCTTCCATTTTTGTTTAACTGAAGGATTGTTCCATGCATTGCATGGTTCTGAAATTGTTCCTGCAAAACTCACTTTTGGGGAAATGGGTGAAATGGTGATTTGAAGTGTAAGATGGTCATTACAACAAGAATAATAGACAAAACAAATCTTTGTTTTGACCAAACATTTTTTGGGGCAAGTTACAATTATATCAAGATTTACAAACCAGTAATAAGCTGTGGAAGGCACAAACTGCTGCCTGCCAAAGTTTTGCCATCTTTGTCCATTTGTCTATAGGATTTTTTTTTTAATCAAGCAAATAAAATGCAACCTTAAAAGCAGCACTCTTTGCAATGACATTGAGATTCCTCCAGCTTTCTTCAGTCCTGAATGACGTGCATAATTTATTTGGTTGCCATGGTCTGGCTGCTTTATGTTGTGCCTTGAAATTTATTTGGTCAAATACTGCTCGATTCCAGAGGAAATACAATAAAAATTGCTTGCCTGAATGGGACCAATATTTCAAAATAGGGGGCATTTTAAATGCAGTGATTCATAGAAACAATTATTTTTGCTGATGTTAAACCTAGTGGTTTCATATATATTATATGCTTCCCATTGATTCACTAATATAATGCCCCAACAATATTGCTTGGAACATGTCAGCAAACACTACCTGTTGTCAGACAAAAAAAAATTTGAAGCTCATATTTATATTGATACTGATCTGCTCACGATTCTATTAATCTATTCCTTTTGTGCTTTTTAATGAACTGACCAGTTAATTTATTTGAATAGCTCTAATATGATTTCTTTCAGGTCATCTTCAATTAGCTGCTAAGAATAGAGGAATTGTAACAGGAGGAAAACCTACAACTCTCCGGTAGCTGAAAAGTAGACAAAAAAGGCTGTCTTTGTACTGATACATGCATATTTATTCATTGTGAAATCAGACATCCCAGACAATTAATTAACACACTTCCATGTCAGTAATTCTTAGGTTTCTTGAAAGATCATGTTATAGCTATAGATTTCCTTTATTGGTCATTTTCCTCCAATGAGGGTTCAGTGGAAGAAAGTATTTTGGGGGTAAAAAAGATTGTCTGAAGATTGTTTGCTGAAACCATCTGTATATTTTAGATCAGCTGATGTGTTTAGTGCATGATAATTCTAGGAAGTCACATACGTACATAATGATATGCACATAGATCCGAATGAAAATTCGTACCTGTCTCATTAAAATGTGACTGATGTTAAAAGCATTAAGATTTGAAATCCATATAAATCTTAATTCCCCACCCAGCCCTTGTACTGCTTTTGTCATTTTGATGCAATTTTTCAAGAGCAAATGAGAAGAATCCCCACCTGTGCTTCTAAACCAAGAAGGTACGGAAATGTATATTACCTGTAACTGTGAGCCTTGTATTACTAGTGCAGCTCTGAGAAATGGTACCTGCAGTTCCTGGTCTAACACTAATGTGCATTTGACTTCGTTTAATTCTTTTCAATGTGTAATAAATAGAAGGACCGCTGAAAACTATGTTAAGTCACTTTAAGGACCGAAATGTGCTTTAAACGTCACTTGTTTTGCATGCTTGTTTTATTAAAAGGGTAAAGATCAGTTAATTTCATTCTACAAAACCTAATTTTGCAGAATACCAGATTTGAATTCTTTGTGCAGATATTCAGTGCATGAAAGCTAAATGTTGAACTAAACATTTCATCACTAAGGTAAGGTGATTTGTTGTTTCAAGTATTACAATAGAATATTGGCTGGATGTTTTAAACACATCAACCATATCACCTTGGAAATGTAATCTTTTATGAGATTGAAGGGTATTGGGTTTATGATAATTTTTCTGCACACCATAGGACACTTTGTATAATTAGCACCATAGTGCATGTTTGTATTTCACCACATACTGACAATGGGAAAAGGAAATGTTGAACAGAACCTACTTGCAATGGTTTTTGTTGCACCTATCAGTTTGCTGCAGTCTTTATTTTATGAGACTGATTTACCAAAACACTTGTGAATTTCTTTATATACATTGTGTGTGGGGGACATATGTACTATATGTTTTAAAGTTGTTTGTGTGACCTATTTTAAATGTCTCGAGTAGAGCGACTACACTACTTGCTTTTGTATCCTGATATTGTTACAAGTCTTGTAGTTTTGGAAGCTCTGCCTTATGGTAGATTTTGGTTACAAAATATTCAGGTCCTTTCTATAACTTGTCCATAGATGTTTGTAGCACACAATTACCTTAATGTGTGTATTAAACAAGTTCTGACAATCTCCTATTCTGCTTTTGTAGGTGGTACATTTCATTAATAGGTCTTGGTCATTTGGCACTATATTAAAAAAAATTAGTAAACAAGATTTATATGGAACAATGTTTTCTCACTTTATATGCTTCGTATTAAATGACTGAAGCTTGGCAAAATAGCTACCCATTTATTGCTGTATGCATCTTAAATTATTCCTTTATGAAGTAGGAGACAGACAGTAGCATATTGTGCCATAAGAATTTTCTTACGGTTCTATGCTTGCAAATAAGCCTAAAGTGATAGAATTAATGCTTTGTATGTATTATTTGAGGTGTATTTTTTTTAAAAAAGTGGGAAATGTAAGGGAGGTTTTGCTAATAAAATTCTAGATTTCAATGCCTAAATTGGAGGAGGAAAATCATACGTTAGTTAATTGGTGTAAACATCAGTAAAGATTTAATGAATGATTTAACTACAGGAAGTGTTTAAGATCTCTTATGAGGGAATACCTCTGGTTAAAACATAAAATGGATATGCAAATGATGGTATAAATTAATAAAGATATGGACAGTGTTGGGGATTAGGGTCAAACTGTTACATAACTTCCACATAGTGAATTACTGATGGGTAAGTCTGTTCCCTAGTATCCCTCAACAACTTTTTGGTGTGTATTTGGAGTAGAATAAGCATGAGGGACTGAATACCAGACAGTACAAGAAGTTTTAGGATTGGTATACTGTGACCAAATCAGCTTTGCCAGCTGAACTGTACACCCATTAGTGCCTAGATAACAATCAAGCGTACAAGCAAGTCATTTCTGGAATAGTGTTACATTGGAGCATACAACTTTGGGTGATTGTCCTTAATTTATTTGGCACCACTCAGTGCTAAAACTTCTGCCATGGTAGAAGTGTTTAAATTGGTAAGCACCAAACTAAAATAAAGTGGATTTCTTGCAGTTGTTTTTGTTTGAAATTATTTCGTAACAGATGAGAACCTGGTTTGGAGTTCTGCCATGTGTTTCTGCACTGGTAAGGAAATGGTGTACAGCTATTCATATTACTTGAAGAACTGTTTACTTGTGGAATTTCACTGTTCTCAAATAGATTTGAATCTGAGGCTTGGGTTTGTAGGTGCCCTTAGTTGTTTTAAGGAGAGGACCTGTCAGATCCAGAATAGAAATTTTTAATGCTAACAGAGAACAATTGGAAAAAAACATGCCCATCAGATTCACAAGAACACTGACACAATCTGGAATTTTAGAGACCAATAGAGTGGGGAAAAAAGTCACATTTAGATTAGAGGAACCTGAACATATCAAGATTTATTCTAAAATCTAAGAGTACATCTTCCCAGCATCAATAATACATTTATACATGTGAATGTGTAAGACTGAATACACCTCTCAATCTTTATCAAAAAATATGCTATTTTAACTTGCTGGTAAATGTAGAAAATTCATTTTTATCAATAAATACAAGCACAATTTAGCAAAAGTGGAAGCCTTGTGAACTATAAGTGTAGTGAATAACCTGAAAGTACACTGACTATTGTATAAAGGATTGTACATATGACAGGGTGGTCCAACCTTTTTTTTCTCTATTTGAGAAATGAGCATAGGCCATACAAGCAATATTTTTGTGTTTCCCTTTCAGAAACCACATTTAAGAGTTAAGGAGGGAATGGGATGAAGTTGGCCCATGGGACCACCCCGATTATAGGGTATTTCTGTAATTCACATCTATAAAATGTGTATAATCTGGTCTTGGATAGGAATTTCTCTCCTGAATGACATTTACATAAAATTAGAATGGAAAACAGTTACCAGTTTCATTTTACTTTATTTTCAATATCTTTAGTGCTAAGAAACATTGAAAACCCAAATCTTAAGAGTCACAAAAAACATTTGCTAAAAATACAACAGACCAAATAACATCTGTATAACGAGGAAAATGCATTTTTTTTAAAAAAAAAGTTGTACAGACAAATCTCAAACTAACCAAGGTGGCCAATTGCTACAAACCCCATCGTCAGAATCTTCGTGGTGCTCCCCCTTTGAACGGTTTAAAACGAACATCGCCTGATCCGTGTATTCCTTTGGAGCCTGACACACTGCCTCCTTGCATTGAGTTGTTGGTGATCTGTACAATTCTGTTTGTTACAGAAGGACTACAGTGGGCAACGGAAAAAAAAGTAAGATACCAATAAAGAATTCCATTCGTGGTTGAAATTAAAGTTGCACCCCAAGTCTTACAGAAAATAGTAGTATTACACTGAAGGGAATGCACCAAAGTAAACCAGTCATGATCACAATTTGTCCCAACTCCAAATAATGTAACAAACGAGATAAAGCCAATCCATGTTGTGTGAAAGACAATGGACCACACATAATCCTACTTTGGTAAATATTAAATGACCAACATACAGTAGCAATAGATTAATGGAACTATATGGGACAGTTATTATACTGAGCCATCCACCTTAGACAAACATTTGCTCTTCCTAATCCAAAATAGCACAAATGTGTTAGCAAATCACTGGCGTATAAATCAGTGCTGCGCTCAGCACCAATGGTACCACTGATGAGATCTGGTATGTAAGCTTTTCTCCATTGAGGGTTTTGGAAATCAAATCCACAAGATCACATATCAGTGATATGTCAAGTGCTTATGACAAACATCATGCGTGTGGCAGCAGAAAGATCAGTGGGAAAACAATGAAGCAATTGATCTTGGAGAATGGTGAAGCTGAGTCTATCACTCCTAATTTATAGAACCGGTTCTTAGACACTTCTGAAATTGCACATTTTGATCTCAAAGGCACCAACAACTGCTGATGGGAATGGACTTCCTGAAACTTCCAGATTAAAGTAGGGTATCACAACACTGAAATTCAAATGATGAATAGCAAACAATTGTAAACACAACTTAAGCCTGGTACACCAAAATCAAACAAAATAATGCTGCAGAAAAGGTCTTAGCAAAAAAATTAAGGAAAAAGCAGCAGTTTGATTAAAAAAATCTGGCATGGGAAAGCACTTAATGTGAAGCAAAGCTTCTACTGAATGGGCAGATGCACAGGAACCGCATTTCACCTACCCCTCCCCAGCTGATTAGGTATGAAGAACAAACCATCCATAGCACCTCATCATTTAAAAAAAATAAATTGAGGGGATCAGATCATTGATTTAAACTTGACAGACCAGTATAAACTAAGCTTACTTATAAAAAAAACCCATAAAAACTGAACCACTCAATATTCATCGTGATATAGGTTAAGTTTTAATGCACTGCAAGTGGATTTTTCACACGTAGCAAAGAGAAATCACAGAAACTTGAAGTGATTTTGGCAATAGATACATTTATTAGTATCCTAACATTTCACTACATGGTTTATCAAATTTTGACTTTGCATGGTCATGTTGAATTTACATCATTTGTTAATTTATTAACTATTATTGGTATCACTGTTGGAGTAACAAAATGACTAAAAACATTGATAAGCTACCCAGTACACTTAATTCAAATATGGTTCCAAAAAGGCACTCGTCTATTTTATATAAAAAACAAGTCTGTCAAAAAGATAGAGCCAACAGAGAGACTTCTGTACTATTTACATTACAATACATTAAAGGCCGTCAACAGCAACCGACAGAATGACTTTAGTACCTGGATGGTGGCATCATGCCAGGGCCACGATTGTCACTCATTCGCCTCATGTCTTGATATCCACTGCCTTGAGAACTAGGCCCAGAATGCCAACTGTTCCGTGGTGCTCCTGATTCTCGCCCATGACGCTCTACTACTGGGTGCCTGCTATCGTGATAGTGAGATTGCTGGGAAAAAGGAGTTTGCGAAAAAATTAACCCTGGTATACACACCGCATTTGGAAATCAACAGATCAATTTCTGAAACTGATTTGCAACTTAGTACCCACTATATAATTACCAACCGAGCACACAAATAATTTTGTACATGAATTTCTGTAAATTTTGCTGTGACACATAACGTGTCCAAAATCATTATGTCAACATTTACACAGGATGACAATGTACAATGCATGATCACTTAGTGATACGTTAGTGCTTAAGAATGTTTTGATTAACAAACTAGTGCAAAGCATCACTAATGCCAAGGTACCCATCAAAGCTTCTCACCAATAACATTTACTGAACCTTACACGTACCTGATTACTACCCCTCTCCATTACAGGCCGGCCTCCATCTCGGCTACTATACCCAGACATGCTGCTGTGACCACTAGGTGGCCCACTTCTTATACTGTGTCCTGATCTCTCCGGACGCATCCGATCTCGATCCCTGGAATTCCTAAAAGAAGTTGACATTGATAAGCATTCAGGAGTCAAACTAATTTCTTCATTAAAAGCAGGGCAAAACAGTAATCAACAATTTCAAATCTAGTTCCCATGTTGCACATGACTTACAATTAAAATCAATTAGATGACTAAAACAACCAAAAGAGAATTAATAAACAGCAGAAAACAGCAGCGCACTGCACTACATCTCAGCTTCCATTATTGTATAACAATGTTGGGACTTTGGGAAAGGAAGCTTCTAGGATGTGAGGCCAATTCAAATAGAAGGCCACTGCATTCTGCAGTATCAACGCTGTCACATTTCCCCCCGCCACCAAAATCCAGCAATTGCTGGTATTGTAAAATAACACTTAAACATCGAGTAATAAAACTGAGCCACAAGAGAATCACTTGAGGCAATTTGCCTACATTTAATTATATTCACATGCAATATGCCTTATAAACACTGCCATAAAGAATAGGTTTTGTATTTATCTGCTGAGAAGCTGCATGGGTTTCGAGATAGGAATGATTAGGTATACCTTGACTCTAATCCCAAAGAATCACAAATCTGTGATAGAAAAGATGTTGGGAGCAAATTTGTGATGACTAAAATTCAGCCCCCCACCCCACCCCAAAAAATACCCATAACAAATGGGATAAAAGTTGAAAAGTGAGTTCTAGTGAATCTCAACTTCTCCAACACACAAATCCACAGATCATAAGGATTTATTGGAATGAGTTAAACAATACCTTATTTCACGTTTGGAAGAACCCATACCACTCGGCTTCCATTCATTTGGTCTGGATGAATTGTGACTTGGCCGGCCGTGCTGGACTCCATGGTCACTCATCCGTCCCCGGTCAGGAAAGCTCCTCGATGGGGAAATCTTTGGGAGATGATCATGACCCCTGCTCCCACTTGATCGGTCCTGAAGAGTCACAGTTCGCCGTTCGTCTCGGTCCCTCATTTCCCTCCGTTCATTATTTCCATGGAGTTCAATTCTTTGTTGAGAAGCTGGCCGTCGAGAATCACCATAGGGTTTGGGGTACCTATTGTACCCAGAGTCCTCTCTGCGGCTCCCAGAGCGATTCTTCTTTCCTTCTCCTTGATGGTTGTAACGATCTCCCCGTCTGATTCAGTTAATAGGATTACACGGTTAGTTTCATGAAGTAGTCCCAGTAAGCGGTTAGATTTCGCAACAAATGCTATTGCAGCCCCTCAGGAGATCAAACCAATTTACTGATATCTAAGAGGGAAATTGAGCCATCTACTCCTGGGCCAGTATTGCTAACTGCATGAAAGCCAGCTGAGATGACCCTTTTTGGGATGTCTACCAACGTGAAAGGTGCTATACAAATATAATTTTGTTGTTGTTTTCCTGTGGAAGCACATATCTTTTGTAAAAAAGGGAAGACCAGGAACTATCACACAGGAAAAAGGCAGGAATGCTGATCCTAAGACTGATATGCCGCCTTTTTGGCGTTATCCTCAATGGATGTACATCTTTGACACATTATGACTATTTGCTATGTGTAGTTACCATTTCCTTTTTGTTCTAATTTCAGAATTCTCCATGAACAATAGAGAGAAAAACTGGGAGCCACTCAAGTGCAGGTAACGTCCAGACAGCAGCTATCATTAGACACTTACCCATCAAAGGATGAAGATTGCACTCTATGGTCAAAGTCATTGAAACGGTGTGGATCCTGGCGACTGTAATCAGAATTGTGGCTGAAGCGGGCATCACTGTCCATGGTCCTCCTCTTATGTTCATTCCAATAAGGCTCATCGCGTCTAAATAGAGTATTTAGAAACCAACTCACTAAATAAACCATTTTAACCTTCAACTACTGTACAAAACAAATACAGCTAAGATAACCACTTAAGCTTTAGGTTTTAATAAATTAATACCTACAGATGGCAATGCAGAGACACTGCTTACTAGTTCCACAATTTATACAACAGAATGGTGAGGTGTACTTTCACACCTGTGATCCTTCATATCCCAAGTTCCTTATTTTAGCTGATATAATCAAGGCTACAAACCTCCTTGTAACAAGTGCAAAATATAAGTCCTCTGAGAAAAATCACTTGATTTTCATATCACCCTCCACTGCCATGTATATTTTTTAAAAAAAAAAAGTATCCCCTTCCTTACTCTTCCCACAGCATCCCATCCAAAAGGACAGGTGAAATACACCTAGAAGTTGATTTTGAAACTAACTTCTTTCTACACGTTAGAACAACTCTGGAAACACTACTTTATTTATCTCTCCTTGCTCTAACTTACACATCTTTTCTGGCTCTACTTCACTTGTCTCTCTTTGCTCTAACTTGCCTGTCTCTCTTTGGGACAAACACCTCTTTGTCAACACAGCAAAAATTGGGAGCTTTGCATCGGAAGAACTGCGAGATCAAACCTCGGGCGCTGGCTATCCACAGGACATCGTGTCGGGGCTCCAACAGATTACATCAATCTCATCTCAATACAGGTTACATCAATAATTTATGCATCAAATTCTGGAGTGAACGACTGCGAACATATTTTAATTAAAAAGGGCAGGTAAACAAGTTTTGCAAAACTACTTTCATCAATCCCAGCTTGTATTCTTGAGCATAACATTACTTGCGCATCTTAACACTCTACACAGACGGCACACTAGAGCTGATCAAGCTGTGCCACCACTCTACCCAGCGCAAAATGAATTCCTTGAACTCTGCAGGAAATGATTAATCACTTTCAGGCCTGCAATTCCCCCCCCTTAAATACCTGTTATCTACATCACGTGGTCGTTTTAATGAATTTCTTCTTTCTTGTTCGTAGCGGAGTTGCTCCTGTTGCCGACGGAGTTCTTCTCGTTCACGGGCAATGCGTTCGATCTCCTTTCGCCTCTCCTACAACACAGGAATATCAGTTTGACATTGACTTGCCTTTCTACTGCAGACCTTTCACCTGATGAAATGAAAAGCATATCTGCCAGGACCGAGAGATAATGAAGCATAATATTTCACCAGCATCGTAATCTTAGGGGTACAAGCTAGCGCATACAAAAAAAAGTGTCCATGATCGCGTGGCAGAGATCCACACTCGCCGTCAGACAGCATCCCATTCCAACCAGAGACCAACCAACCGTAAATCTGCTATCTGAGTCCCCTTGCTGAAGACAAGTCGTAAGAGAACAAATTGCAAGTGTGAATGTTTCCAAATATTGGAATCTGCATTAAAAAATAAACCATCTTCACCTGTTCTATACGGATACGTTCCCTTTCGAGTCGTTCTCTCTCCATTCTTTCCCTCTCAAGCTTCTGCTTTTCAATTTCCAACCTTTCCCTTTCTCGCTGCAGGCGATCGCGCTCTTCTCGCTCACGCAAGATGCGAATCCGCTCCCGCTCACGGCGCTGCCTTTCAGCTATTTCTCGCCGCCTGAATAAAATACAGAGAAACATTTGAAAATGCATTTGCCACAGCGACCAACCTTAAATCAAGCCTACTGGGAAATTAAGCATGCATATTGCATAATATGCTCGCATCAATGAGCCTGGTAATTACTGAACATCTTGTGATGCACTGGAAGAGAATTAAAAAACGCCCATAAATATCAGGTTCACTAAGAAACTAAGACAACCGAGTATTGGTCACCCCATAATATAGAATTTTAAATTAACACGATTCTGAGAATACCCATTGCATTTTACCCCAATCTAGGTAAAAAAAACCTTACCTTCTTAATTCTATTGCACGCCGTATACGTTGCAATCGAACTAAGCGTTCCCGAATCTTTTGTTGTTTTATCTTTTCAAACGGTAAAATATCTTTTCTCTCTTTACTGCTTGGTTTACTCGGAATAGATTTTTCTTTGCTTTTTGAAGTGGACACCTGCAAAATAAAATGAAGGACTAGAACAATTTTCCTAAGCAGTTAAAAGCATTTTATGCCTATCTTCTTGTGCTATTAAGGCCAGGAGAGTCAGTCCTATATTCACCATTGATTTGGTTTGACTTTTGTTTGGAGGCGGTATTCATGGGGTATGTAATTAACATGCCCTTTTCCAATTTAGTGGCTTTAACCCATCTGATATCACCATTTGAGGAAAGCCAAAATACAAATGTCAGTCAAGGTTAAGAATCAAATCTCTTCTGCAACTCGAGCTGCACAAATTAACATTTTAAAGAGCTACTCTGTCACAAGATTTCAACTTCAAACTTTTAATTAGGTTTTCCTTCAAAATCATAATCAGCCATGGGTTCTCATTTGACAACACAAATATGCAGATCAGGTACAATCGAATTAAGTTTAATTTCTGAAACTCAATCCAATCTTTCAATTTCTTTTCTGTTACAAAACTAAACTTGAAGGGTGCAAGAACAGTCATTCTGTGTTAAAAGTGTGTTGTGAGGCTATGAATTGGTTCATAAACAAACATTTTCCTCCTAATGCTCACCGGCTCACTCTTGCCTTTCTTGACAGTTTTAACACTGACAACAGGTTCCCCTTTAGCTTTGTCAATGACTACCATACGATGAGGACTCTTCACACCTGGGGAGCAAAAGAAAACATCAGAAAAACAAATTTGGCAGTGGTAAATTGGTGACAATCATTCTTCTATTATTGTACAATAAAATCAAAGTGCATACTTCTTCGTCTTTTCTCATCTGCTTTTTTGGAATGGTCATGATTGCTGCTTGTATTTTCCTTTTCATCCCTTTTTTCTTGTTTCTTCATAGAATTTGACCCATCCTTGCTTTCTTTTTTATCTCCCAGCTTTTCGGTTTTCTTGTCCTCTTTTTTGGAAGACAATTGGACCCTTATATTGAAGAGAGAGTTTAAACAAATATAAATGCTGTGAATGATAGATCAGAATTAAAAGACACCCCAACTCTGGTTAACATATTTCTGTATTATAATTATGGTACAAGTAACATAACTCTTATGATCATTAATTATCTTAAAAGAATCAACTTTCACAAGGAACAATCTGGCCAATAAAATTGTCAGACACGAGATTCTACTGATTGGTGCACAGTTATTGATGCCTTCAAAAATGTATTATTCTTCATCAAATGTCATTTTTGCTATCAACACTTGCTATCATCCCTAATATTCAATGATTCTGTACAGACGGCATTTGAACAAGAACAATTAAAAAGTGGTGCAAAATTCAATTAGCTTTTAGAGCACGAGTATGGGTTTTAATGTGGACATTTTTCTTGCGCACATTTTAATTGTACATTATCTCCTATGGACCAATACATGCATGCCGAGCTCAGAAGAATTGCTTTATTTGGGATAGTGGATACTTAGTTGGCAGTGTTAATGCTAAGGTAGACCGCGAGATTCATTCATAGAATCATAGAATGTTACGGCACAGAAGGAGGCCATTTGGCCCATTGAGTCTGTGCGGCTCTTTGACAGAGCAACTGACTTTTGTTAACCCCACTCACCAGCTTTCTCCCCATAACCCTGCGAACCCGTCTTCCCCAGATACCTATCCAGTTCTCTCTTAAAAACTGTTATCGAATCGGACTTCACTGCCCTTTCAGGCAGATCATTCCAAATTCGAACAATTCGCTGAGTGAAAAAATTTCTTCCAATTTCCCCTCTGCTTCTTTTGGTAGATACCTTAAGACTGTGACCACAGGTCACAGACACACCTACCAGGGGAAACAGCTTTTCCTTATCTAGCTTGTCGAAACCTTTCATGATCTTGAAGACCTCGAACAGGTTTCCACGTAACCTTTTCTGCTCTAATGGGAAAAGTCCTAATTTCTCCAGCCTGTCCTCATAGCTAAGGTTCCTCATTCCTGGTATCATTTTCATGAATCTCCTCTGCACCCTTTCTAGTGCCTTAATGTCCTTCCTGAAGTAAGATGCCCAGAACTGGACTCAGTACTCCAGTTGAAGCCTAACCAGTGTTTTGTATAGATTAACCATAACCTCCCTGCTCTTATACTCTATGCCCCTACTAATGAAGCTCAGTACACCGAATGCCTTTTTTACTGCCTTATCTACCTGCCCCGCTATCTTTAATGATTCGCTTACTTGAACACCCAGATCTCTCTGTACGTTCTCCCCCCTTAAGATTGAGCCACCAAGTCTATATTGCCTATCATTTTTCCTACCTAAGTGTATCACCTCACACTTATCCACATTGAAATCCATCTGCCACATGTCAGCCCATTCCACCATTCTGTATATGTCTGCTTGCAGTTGGTTACAGTCCTCCTCACTATTTACTACCCTACCTAACTTTGTATCATCTGTAAACTTGGAAATAGTGCTCTCTATGCCCAAGTCCAGATCATTAATATATATTAGAAAGAGCAGTGGTCCCAATACCGATCCCTGGGGGACACCGCTGCACACCTCCTTCCATTTCGAGAAACACCCATTAACCACCACCCTCTGCTTTCTGTCACTCAGCCAGTTCCTAATCCAAACTGCCACTGTCCCCTTAATACCGTGGGCCTCTAATTTTTGTATTAATCTCTTATTTTTGTATTAATCTCTTACTGTGTCAAAAGCCTTTTTGAAATCCATGTAAATAATGTCCACCGCATTTCCCTCATCAACCCTCAGTCACCTCTTCAAAAAATTCTATTAGATTTGTTAGGCAAGATTTGCCTTTAACAAATCCATGTTGGCTGTCTCTAATTACCTCATGTTCCTCTAAGTAGAGATTTATTCTGTCCCGGATTATGGTCTCCAGTAGTTTTTCTATTACCGAAGCTAGGCTGACTGGCCTGTAATTGCCGGGTTTATCTTTCTGCCCCTTTTTGTAGAGTGGGGTAACATTAGCCACTCTCCAGTCTCTTGGCACCACTCCTGTGTCTAATGACGATTGAAATATAATGGCCAAAGCCTCCGCTATTTGAATCCGTATCTCCCACAGCAACCTTGGGTGAAACCCATCTGGTCCTGGTGACTTATCAATTTTGAGCCCAGTCAATGTTTTCAGAACTTCCCCTCTGTCTATAGTAATCTGATCTATTTCCTCTACCCTCTCATCCAATACTGCGGCATTTGGGGCATCTATTTCCGTTGTGAAGACAGATGCAAAGTACTTGTTCAGTACATCAGCCTCCACAACAATATTGCCGTCATTGTCTTTGATTGGCCCCACCCTACCTTTAACTAACCTTTTTTCCTATATGTGCTTGTAAAATATTTTAGGATTTCCCTTTATGTTACCCACTAACCTCTTCTCATGCGATCTTTTAGTCTGTCTTATCATTCTTTTAAGATCACTCCTGCATTCTCTATAATTCGCTTTGCTATCCTCAGTATCTTGCGTCTTCCAATTGTTGTACGCCGTCTTCTTCTTTTTCATCCTAGACAGAATTTCCCTGGTCATCCAGGCTGGCTTTGTTGTCGCACATTTCCCTTTTGTGGGAATATATCTATTTAGACCTTGAGCTATCATATCTTTGAAGATCTCCCATTGCTCATGAGTCGTTTTACCTGCTAGTCTTACTTGCCAGTCCGCCAACTCTAGGTCCCTTTTTAGCCGATCCCCTACCGAAACCTGTTCAACCTGACCTATTTCATTCCCCAGGACTAGATCCAGCAATCCTTCCTTCCTCGTAGGACTGGAGACATACTACTCAAGAAAATTTTCCTGTACAGTTTATGAATCTTTCTCCTGCCTTGCCCTTAGCACTGCTATTTTGCCAGTCTATATTGGGATAATTGAAATCCCCCATTATCACAACTCTGTTCGCCTTACATCTATCCGCGATCTGGTTGCAGATCTGCTCCTCTATCTCCTTCCCGCTGTCTGGTGGTCTATAGTAACCTTAAGTATCCTTAATTCATATTGCCACCCCTCCTCCTTTTCTTCCTTCTCTATCCTTCCTGAACACATTATATCTTGGAATATTTAACTCCCATTCCTGTCCTGAGCCATGTCTTGGTTACTGCCACCACATCGTAACCCCCTACGGCCAGTTGAACCTGCAGCTCATCAACCTTATTCCCTAAGCTACGTGCATTTAGGTACATGCATTTGAGGAAATTGTCCGCTTGTACCTGCTCTATACTTCCCACTTGTCTTTTTCCTCTAATCTCTAATCCATTGTTTATCCTTGGATACCCATCCCCCCCCCCGACACTAGTTTAAATCCGCCCCTACAGCATTTGATAATCTCTTGGCAAGGAAGCTCACCCCTGCCTTGCTTAAGTGCCGCCCATCCTCAAGGTAAAGATCCCACCTCCGTCAGTAGTGGTCCCAATTTTCCAGAAAACGGAAACCTTCTTTTCCGGACCATTTCTCCAGCCAATCGTTCATGCGCCTGATCCTTTCATTATGGTGCCTTGTTACTGCAGATGAAGTCACCTGGACTCAGGTTGCCCTCCATCAACTCCCACATACCACATTCCTCGCACATCACCTGCCAGGCCATTATCTATCTCCTCTTACTTCTCCTTATATATATAACCTGCACCTACTTCCCTCTCTGCACCTAATTCCCACTCTCACCCAATTCCTTCCCACTCTGGCCTTGTCTCACTCCGGACGTAGCTCACTTTTGGCTCTCTGCTCGAGATGTTGAACTGCTGCAAATAATTTTCGGTGTGTTTGTGTTAACCTCTACTTTACCATGGTCATGAACAAAGATGTTATTGATACAGACACAGAATGGATTTATTTGAAAGGAAGGCTATGCTTTTTGATACAAATAACTGTGCAGCAGCTTCAGTGAATAGCTTGTACACCTGGCCTTCACTATTGTACTTTACACTAGCCAAGTTCCAAGAGCCTTGTAACCAAGGAAGTCACATGAAATGTGGCACAGCTCCAGTAGCTATCCAGAGATTTCATCTACACCTAGTGTTTTAAACATTTATACCCTTACACAGCATTTACTTACTTGCTGCTGGTTTTCCCACTGCTCGAAGACTTCTTATCACTCCCATTTCTACTCGAACTCGTCTTCCCGCTGCCATCTTTTGTCGTACAGTCTTTTTTAAAAGGGTCACTTTTCACCTTAAAGACAATTTGGAATATGTCAAATGCCAAAACAATTATTTGATATAACTAGACATAAGGAATGATCCAACACAGAATCTTTTGTTCTGGCATTAATTCAGAAAGCATTCCTGAAAATCCACTTTTCCTTATATAGGAGATGTGTACTAATTTGAACATAAAGGATCAATCTCAGACAGTGGGGTCAATTTAAGAGATACATTTTTTCACCTTAAATGTACCCGGATTTATGAGAGGTACCCCTTCAACATTATTTTGGATAGTCACAAGCCATAACACCAAGATATTGGACTAGGGTAAAGGATCAGAGCATTTGACGGGTCAGTCAGCACAATACTAGCTTTTTAATAATAATCCTTGCATTTGATATAACGCCTTATCACATCTTCGAGAAGTCTCAAAGCTCTTCACAGAATATACTGTAAAGTGAATCGACTATATTTTATGGGCAAAAACACAGCAGCCAATTGCGCATGTGGAGTCCTGTAGCTCAGTGGTTAGAACACTCGCTTTGCAAGCGAGAGACCGGAGTTCAATTCTAGGCAGGGCGAAACCTTGGGCAAGTTTCCTTACTCCACACAGAGCCTAATAATAATCCCTTCAAAAAAACAAAACAATAATTGGTCATTTTCAATCTACGACTGTTTGTGGGACATTGCTGTGTGCAATTGGCTGCCGCGTTCGCCCACAAATATACAGTCAATTCACTTTACAGTGTGTTCTGTGAAGCGCTTTGGGACGTCCTCCCGACGTGAAAAGCGCTATATCAAATGGAAGGATTATTATTATTATTAGTGTCCCACAAACAGTCAATGGATTGAGCTACTAATTTATTTAATTCAAAAGGAATTATTACCCCTGGAAAAGCGATCCACCAATCAATTAACAACCGGGTTCCTAGGTACTGCTAGGTAACCCGAGGTATGTGGAGTAAGGAAACTTGCCTAACATTTCGAATGTTAATAAACAGAAGAGAGTTTGTGGATGCTACCACTGAAAATGGCATTGGGGTTGGAGTGGAGGGTCCACTTCCACTACATTTGATGTAATGAGCAGAATTCCATGGAGGTTTTTCCATTTGAATTCTTGTGCAAATGAGTTGCAGTTTATTAGTATTAGCAGTTAGGACTTGCTTACAAAGTTGCTCTCTTTATAATTTTAAGCATATTTAAAATGGACTATTATACATGGCAAAGTGTGTTATTTACTTTCTCAACAGAAATCTGCTGCCCATGCAGCTCTGTGCGATGCAGGTGGGAAATACACCTCGACACTTCTGTACTTGAAGACATTGTCACAAATCCATAGCATCGAGCACCAGGACTGCGAGCGTTGGTCACTACCTTTGCACTCAGAACCTACAGACAAAAGAATAAAATTCAGCACGAAACATCATTACCGGCATCTTCCTTCAAGTCATTCTGACACCGGTGGCAATAAAGCATGCAGTATTTAACTGACATACCTTTCCATATTTACTGAATAGGTTCTTTAGATCAGCTGCTTTAGTATTGGAAGATAGACCACTAATCCACAGGTTCTTGGTTGAGCTGCTACTATTGCCACTGGTGCTCCCAGAACTGCTACTAACACCTCCTGTAACAGAAGTGAAAATAAAACCACTGACATGACTGTACACCCTATGGAATATTTCACTCAGTTATTACATAACTTATCTGAATATTGCACAATGATAACATTACATAACTTCATTGCAGAGATATCACAGTACAGTACAGTAGAAGCACACCTCAAGGTCTAATGCGGTTAGGATTTTAACTTCAACATTATATAGTAGTTATACACACTACTGAGGTCAACCCTTTACTGTAGTCAAAATTCTTCAGTTTGTTTGGTGACCTTATTTGTGAATTTCCTCTGTACTGCGCGTGAACTTTCAATGTAAAATGATTAAAAATTTCAATACAACAATAAATCAATTATTGAGTCTCACCCTTTTCATCTTTAGTAGCAGTCTTATCTTTGGAGTCCTTACTCGAACTATGAACACAAAGAAACATTAGAAAAACGCACACAAATCAAAATGTTCAAGAACAAAAAGTGGAACTAATCTTCGACAAAATACTACTGTACCAATTTACAAAGTAATGCATTAAAAAAACATCAAACTAAGCATATTGGTTAAAATATAAAGAACCTAAAGAATCTCTAGTCACAAATATACCGAAGCCAACGTGGCCTTCATATGAACAAAATGGTTCCAAAATGGACTCTTGCATCGATATTCCAAAGCTGCCTGAAGGTCAAGATTTGTGCCAATTCTATTCAGTGAGCAAATCACAATCTTCTCCAGTAATCAGGAGTGGTAGTTTGGATTCCATACTTGAGAATTCTCCTTACTTGGCTTCATTGTGATTTTTTCCTATGGTGTGCTGATTGTTCAGGATCAACACAATGTTATTATTAAAAAAAAGCTTTTATAAAAAAAACTTCTAATTTTCAAAAAAAATAAAATCCAAAAAACGAAGTGTGCCGAAGAAAAGATAGGCAATGATAAACGCAAGCTCTCAATCTTGCACCAGTCTTTTTTTAAAAAAAACTCAAGTCTTTCAAAATAAAAGCATACAATGTTAAGCTTCTTAAAAAAGGATTACCACATACACTGACTTGTTAGGTATCAGATTATAGAACTGTGATTACTCACAAATGCAGACCGATCTTACTGTTGGAACTCGGTATGAGAAATTGACATAGAAAAACAAACCTCTTTGCTTGACTGGAGGCCCCAGCTGATGAGGGGCCTTTCTTTGAAGAATCTCTCTCTTTATCTCCACCTTCAGCTTTTCTAGATCCTTCTCTGGCTTCCTTCTTCGACTCGGCTTTCATTCCCTCCTCTTTTCTTCCTTCCTTATGGTTTTTCTCTTTCTTTCCCTCATTTTTGACTTCTCCCTCTACGTGCTCCTGGGACTGGGGCTCCTTTTCAGCTTTGGGTTTATTCACCTCACAATCTGGCGTTTTCGGGTTTTTACCTGTTTCCAAAAGGTCATCACCATCGAAGTCCAATGTGATGGCATCTTCTGCTTGGATTGTGACCGAAATGTTATCATCATCCGCTTCTTTCAAAGACGCACTGGGTGCAGTTTCATCTTGAACAGTTTGGTGAGCCTCAGCGAGGCCTTCCTCTGAAGGTAGAGATTTTGACACTTCACGAGAACCGTCATCTATATCATCTACATCTGAGAGATTTAACAGGAATAAACATGGCAAAAATACAGGTTTAAATGTCAAAACGTTTACCTAGATGGTGACCTTATCATTGATATTCAAAAAAATAACAATTTACCTAAACTCAGAAGGTTAGAAAACTATAAGGTGCAGCATGGGAATCTGACTTCCTCAATGACAGTTGCAATACCTTTGAGTTACAAAGTCTTCTGTTACAGTCTTCTGTGGCAGCACAAAGATCATTACAGAGGCATTATTCTTCATTGCAGAAATCCCAGATGCAAGCCTTCTCACGCAATGCAATCTGTCCTTTTTTCCCCCAAGTCAAGGTCTGTTTTCATTTCATATTCATCACTTCAACAAAGTTCAACTGTCCACCAAGGTCCTCTGATGTGAGCATTCCTCACATGTCTGGTAAAATCCATTGGATGAAATGGTCCATGCAAGCCGTGTTCTCACACATCCATGTGCACGCATCCAGATTCGGAAGGGCATAAGTCGTCTTCAACGCAATGCCATATCCTGTGCGCATTTCACAGAATCCATCCATCATCTTCTGATTGTCTTAGTTTTGGTGACAAGATACCAACGGGAACAGGATGAAAGTCTTCGGTGCAATCAACATCTTTTTTTTCACGCATCATCGAGATCACACAACAGTGACAGTCTTCATTGTGGAAAGTTACATCTACTCACACGTCCGATTCTGAGTTTCCATAGTTCCAGAGCAAAGCCGATCAATGTTCATAGATGTTGCCTCCAAGCACGGACTTTCATTGTCCCAACTACATTTGCTAAAAAAAATTTAAGACCTTCTGGATTCTTCAGATTCTAGCCCCACCCCCCCACCCCAATTACTGCAGTACAAGTAACCGAAATGCACATCACAATCATTTCCAGTAGTGTACAAAGCAGATTTTAAAAAATGTACATAGTTTTGTTTTAAGAAGGCCCCATTTAAACTGAGAGAAACAAAGTTATATTAAATAATCTTTTCTTGTCCCTTTTCCATTATTTGTTAAGGGGCGTTATGCACTGTCAATCACGTAAATTACTGTGAAAGAACAGAGGTTTCTCATTCGGATTTTTATTCGAGCATTGAAAGCTAAAAATTGGCCTTATTCAAGACATAAAAATTTATAATAAAAATAATCCTTGCATTTGATGCCTTATCACGTCTTCGAGATTTCTCAAAGCAGATTAAAAATGAAAATCAAATTAATTTAGTTAATCATTTCATAAGAAAAACAATGAAAATGTGCTTGTGCTGTGCATGTTCATAAATGTACTCTAGTAATTGGCAAAAATACTCTGCACCTTTTTACAAGACACATTTGGATTTTTTAAAAAAAATCCTATGTACATTTGCTATCCCAAAAGCAAGTAGCCATTTTAATCCCATGCTGTTACATCTAGTGCCTTGTAATGGTTTTCCAACCTTCAACTATAAATTGATCTAAAATGCAGTCATGAAGTAAACTGAAGGGAAGATACAAACTTGGTAAAGTAGTAGTAGGGGTCACATACCTTTCTCATTCTCATCCTCTTCTGCTTCCTGAAACATCAGTTTAAAACCAATTACTCTCTTAAAAAAACAATTTTTGAACTTCACAACTTTACGTAACTATAGACAGTTAAGATAAATCTTAAATCTCACTTAAGTGTTCAGACAAAGTAAACAAACCAATAATTGCCAATAAATATTTGTCAAAAAAAACAAAAGTCACTCTAATCCTTTCAGAATATATATACTAATGCGAAAACATGAAACGATAGGAATAAACACAAGTGCTGCATGAATTCGAGCTTGTAAATCAAAATACCTCAACAGACCATCATATTTTCTTTCCATTTCTAATTCTGGTCTATTGGTTCTCTGCTCACCTTTTAACATTGCGCAACCTGTTCTAGCATTCCTACTACCTACATTTTTTCTGTCTTCAAACCCGGACCCCTACTTTGGAAAATTGGAACACCTTTTTTTGAAAAAGGTAATTGGATTGAAACTAGTTCAACAAGCCAATTTAAATATACAAGATCTATGATTGATCATCGCTGCAAACAGTCACTTTTTGACATGTTTTCAATCATTAAGCGAGAAGTGGAAATCATGAATATAAATAAGGCAATAGTACTCCTCCCCCCCACCGAACCAGATGATATCCTGATGCACCAGCAATACTCTTGGGCATAAAAAGATAATGTGTTGCAAGACTTACTCAACTTCACTGCAGAACATTTGAACGAATAAAATATCCATCATCAAAACATTCATCACACCATATGGAAAAGAAGAATTCTACGTAGTGAAGTACTGTATCATGTCCACTTATGTAAACAACTGAAAACATCATTAGATCAGAAGAAACTAGATTTAATAAAAATAAGATATTTTCTTCCATGCAAATTAACCCCCCACACCCAATAAAAAACAAGCAATCATATCCAGAACTGCTAGAATTATAATACATTGAGCAGACTGGCTAAATAAATGATTATTATTGGCAACAAATGGTACATCAATTCATTTAAATGTTTTCACATTGATTCACTTAGATGTTTTGAAAGATAGAAAGGCCAAGCTCTTTTTAGAAAAACAAAGGCGCACAAAAGGCATCCAAAGACATTGCAGCAACTGTTTTCATGGTCAATGATTGGAAATACAAAATCAAATGAACTAGCAGCTTCTGCTTTTTTCAAAATTTAAAGTTCCAAGTTATAAATACGACCAAATCCAAATACTACATAGGGCAAAACTTCAAATTATCCATGTAATTTTATATATGAACCATTATGGTCATAAATGTATTTAAAAGATATAATGATCTACTAAACCAAATAGATGTGCTTACATCTGTAGTTAAACCTTCATCTACTTCAAGAATATCTTCTTAATTTTCTCTCTCAGCCTGAATGAACAAAATGAGCCATCTACTAAATCCCAATTTTAAAGTGCTTGATTTCCAAAACTCATTTCAGGCAAGGTTAATGGTACCAGCAGGTATGGATGTAACATGATACTTTTTAATCATCCTGCCTCAGTTTCTTTGAAATGATAATAAAAATTCTTGCATTTGATATAGAGCTTTTCACGTTCGGGAGGACGCCCCAAAGCGCTTCACAGAACACACTGTAAAGTGAATTGACTGTATATTTGTGGGCGAACACGGCAGCCAATTGCGCACAGCAATGTCCCACAAACAGTCGTAGATTGAAAATGATCAATTTAATTATTGTTTTTGGTTTTGGAGGGATTATTATTAGCCTCTGTGTGGAGTAAGGAAACTTGCCCAAGGTTTCGCCCCTGCCTGGAATTGAACTCAGATCTCGCACTTGCAAAGCGAATGCTCTAACCACTGAGCTACAGGACTCCACAATAGTTCAAATGCTATGGATGTTTTCATTAACATGCGATTCCAAATGTTGCTTTCATTTTCCGAAAGAGTGAAAAACATTTATGATTAATTCTCAGTGGTTGAGGTAGTGATACGAATTCTAATCTCATAATGGTAGTAAGAACAATTATAATTGTACTGGTTTCTATTTGGAATATTGGTTTGATGGCTCTTTGTATCTTTAATTCGTCTCCTCTATTTTCCTCACTTGGCAAATATTTCCCCTTTAAACATTTCAATTGATTCTACATTTGTACATCCACCCAACGTGACTGGCACTACACAAATGTAATTTTGTTGTTATTGTAGTAATTTCCTGGCAATGCCTTCATTTCATACTCTGCCTTTTGTGGGATGAGATTTCTATCCTCACTTTTAATCGGGTCAACTCTAATTAAGATCACATCCCCTCATTTCGAATTTGTTTACCATAGGGAAAAGTCCTTTGCCCCAACTAACTTGACAATTTGATCCACCATCTTAAATACTACAATTAAATCATCCTCAACTAACTATAGCCCAGTCATAATCTCTCGTCATAAAAGTCCCCTGATCCTACATACAGCTCTGGTGCATCAATACTAGAATGTCCTCAATGCCACAATTGAAAAAGAGAAGGGAAATTCTCCCGTTGTCCTAGCCAACAATCCCTCAGATAAAGTTGTCCTCTCAACGTGAAAGGCACTATATCAAATCCAAGGATTATTATTAATGATGATTTCGAAACAAATCCCCACAATTCCTTCTAATCTATTTTCATCAATTCCTTCATCCCTTTAAGCATGGCCAAAAATCCAATTCATGGCCTTTTTTTTCTTCCCTTAAGCCTGATACTGGATGCATCATATTATATCACTATTCCAAAGATGCTCTCTTACTACCAAATTTCTAATGTTTCCACCCTTGTTTCTCATAATTAAGTAAGAACATTATCTTCTCTTGTTTTAGCTGTTTGGAAAACAATGCTGAATGAATTCACAATTTCTACTTTTTTTTTCTACTGCTGCTATTATTGCCCTCTTATATATGAAAATTAAAATCTCCCATTACCACATTTTCCTTCTTGCAGACTTGACTGATTTGTATATAATGCATTTCTCTGTCAGCTCTATAAAATACTCCAATGTGTTATATCCTTTCTTTAGATCCACTCATAAGGATTCCACCTGCTGATTGCTCTCTCTGCAATCCTCTTTTCAACTGTCATGATGTTGTCACAATAAGAAGGTAGCGACCAGAAGTCACCGATGCACAATAGTCTGTCAGGGCAACTGAAAATATACATATTGTAATTTCCCATAGGTTTCTGTATAGTTTCCCCACAAGTCGAGGCACGTTCACAGCTTATGCAGCCTATAGCTAAATTTCAACAGTTGTCCTGCAAATGGTACTCTTCCCAGATCAGTATATATCTTCAACCAGTTGACTGCATGATCTGCCTGCGTAATCAAAGACTAACACTCCAGAACAAATCTACCCCTCAATCCCTCCAGTTTTTCACCGTTTTAGTCAGATTGTTACCATAGTCCCTCAAAAGCAATATATTTTCCTTTCTAATCTTTTAGGCGTATTTCACATTAGAACAACAGAATTTGGAGAGCAACAGAAGACGCATTAACTTTCTATACAAATATGTCTACATAGGATTTGAACAGGAAATGAGATGCTTAGCAGGTAATTTGCCAGACACGACCAAGAAGTATATTACAAGTGTAGGAGATGCCTTTTTACCAAAAAAAAGGAACAAATAACTTGCATTAATATCGTACCCCTCACACAGGGTAGCATCCCAAAGTGGATAAAACGGGTATCAAAATGGATAAGTCATAGATATTTTTCATTAAAAAGTATTACAAATTCTACTGCTTCAGAAGGATTATAGTTATTAAGGAGAGAATTGAAGAACGCTTTCTCTTCTCGTTTCTCCTGTATTCCACAAAGAATGAAAGGTGATTATACAAATAGTAGGAAATTAAGTGATTCAACGGGTGAATAGAACAAATTCACCGAAATGAGTGCAGCATTTCAGGAAAGTAGATTATCCCTTTTACGTTCTCTATGTTTAGTAGGAACCAAGAGTGCTACTATTATGCTACACCTTTCAGAAGACTGAAAATGTTTGGTAAGATCAGAGAGCCACTGAGAACCATAGGCTCATTCGGCAAGCAAGCACACTCAATCAGTATCTAGAGTACAATCATGTGATTCATTCCCTAAACCATCTCTGGCTGAGTATCCATTTTGGTGTTTTCTCTCTGGAACTAAAGGCACACATTCACCTAGATCCTGATAAAATTTAATGAATCGTCTCTTTAATTTCTCCCAAAGTTTATGAACTGGGGCTCCTAAATGCCTTTCCTCACAACCTCTCCTCAGTACATTCCCATTTACGCACCCAAAATTCACTACCTTGTTTTTAAGAAATGGATATTGACATCCCTAAAGGGGATGGCTGCTATTATGCACTAGTTCAGCTATGCATAGTCTGCTTGGCATTTGTGACTGATCTCCATATTGTTTATCGCGAGATTATGATCACTACAAGCCAGTTTAACATGCTAAAAAATAAAACTTGACATCCAAGTTAAGGGAAGAGATAAAAAATGGACTGGTACAAATTATAAATGGCACTTCAGAATTAGAATAAGAGAACACTTTAGTGCTCAATTACTTGATAACATTGCCAAGTTTCTTTTTTTTAAAAAAAACATGATCACTAAATGCTCTTGGACAGCTAAGACAAACACAAATCTGCCTGAGCAAGGTCTAGAATCCTGTTTAGATCAGCAGAGAATCTGTTGTTATGAAATAACTACATGATGGACATGCAATTAAGAAGCTAAATCAATTTAAGAGCTGGAATGCTTCCTATTAATTTATGAAAACCAGACATTTTTGTACCTGGCCTTCAGGATCCATATCCTCAGAAATTTTAACTTCAGATGATTGTTGACTTGAACTCTTAGGCAACTGTTCACTGACTGAATCACAATTTTTATCCACCTTTTCCTCAGCTTCAGTGGTCTTCTGATCCTCTGCTCCATCTTGATCACTTGTATCCTGAGAATCACTCTGGATTGCATCTATATCAGTTTCCATCTATTACAAGACACTATTATTTACACTTCTAAATAGAATATAGATTTAAGTCAAGGAATGTATATGCTTAACTGTGTGTTTGAAAATAAAATCTGCGTTTTATTTCTTTTAAAACCAGAAAGGCGTTTGTTGCACACTTCGGGAATAAAACAGGAAGGATTGTGAAATGTAATAATTTTAAGCAGGATGAAAAGTTCTACCTCACTGCCTAGGTACAATAACCACATTTAATGAATTTTAAAATTGAAGTGTTGATTGTAACCATTACAAAACTGTATAGGTTCTACGTTAGAACTGAGTCAACCAAAGCAATGCAATTAAACGAGTAATGCAGGAGAGGAAAAAAANTAGATTTAAGCTTGTATCCAGTACATTATTTTTCAACAAACTGATTTAAACACAGTTCTTCTTAACTGAGCTATCTATTTACCTTCTTACCACTTTCATTCTCACAGTATTCACCACCTGATTTAAAAATAATGTAGTTTGTATTTACCTTGCTATTGCCATCCTCTTCCATGCTAGCATCACCACCAGCTTCATCAGCATCGTTTTTTTTCCCTTGGGAAAAACAAAACAGTGGATCACTCTACATTCTCTGCCTAACTGACTGCCATACCTTTAAATCTCTATTTGCAACTGTCATGTTACCTCTAATAGTGACAATGCTGCGTGCCCCAAACACTGCACTGGAATGTCGATCTAGACTATAAAATTCCGAAGTCCTGACACAGGATTTGAATACACAAATTCCTGGCTCAAACCCGCAACGTTCTGAGTCAGAGGCAAGAGTGCTACTCTAAAATTAAGGGCGTCTCTAAAATTAATACTCTACTGTGTAAAGCTCTATCTGAGAGGCCTATCCGAATCATTGTATTGGGCAATCTAATTCAAGGTGGTAATTTACACTTGTGTTGCATCTTTCAAATGCTTAGGTTAAGGAATGGTTAATCACAAAACTCATTAAAGTTTCCCAATATATAATAATGTCATTAGAAATCTGGTAATTTGACAGTTACAAATTGTGTGGAAAAAAAGGCATTACCTTTGCTCTTAGGAGTTTTCTTTGAAGGTGTATCTGAAAATAGTTGAATGTTATCAGGATCGCCTCCCTCCTCTTCTATAGCCTATTTTTATTTTTTTTAAAAAAAGTAAAAAGCATTAATTTAGAAAATCTTCTAGAACGCCCATTGTAATGCAATCAGAAAATGAAACCAGATCAACAATGTAAGAAAACTATTTTGGAACAGCCATATCAGTTGCAGTAAACATGTAATTTAAGAAGAATTCTTTGCAAACAGCCAGTACATTAATGCCTTAAGTCGTAATCAAATTTCTTATCATTTGAAAGTACCAGAACCCTCACGATACACTTTTTATTTTTAAAAAACTTTTCTAAGAACCATTAACACATATGAAAATCATATAAATTGGCTTCATTTACCAGATAATGCTGTGACCAAAACACCAAATCTTCCGTTAGCATTTTGGCACTGCAGTATTATGGTAGTTTTGAAGCCGTACTGCATAAAACACTGGTTTGCAATTTAGGAACAGTGTCACTCGATTAAACAGTTACTCGCCACTGTCCCAATAAATGTATTTCACACAATTAAAACTGTAAATCCATATTCCACAGGATCTACGTCTCATTTAAGATAAGGTCCGATAAGTGTTATTTCTCGCTCGAAGTGAAAGTTTTAAAACCCATCTTCCAGGTTAACAAATGCAAAAATAAAAAATAAAACCTGCAAACTCGAGAGGGATTCTCTACGAGATAAAACAACCGCGACCCAGGTGCATCTGTCAGCGAGCTCTCGCTGCGAGAGACCGGTAACCTTTACCAAAAAAAAAGAGCACGAGCTTTAAAGGAAAAATATAAAAATCAAGTCGCTGTGGCCCAAATGTATCAAAGCTTCCAGCCCGCGGGCTCCTCTCGGGGAGGTGAAGCACAGCATTAGCCCACGACACTCTGCCCCCCCGATCACTTACATGTTGTGACCGGGGGGTCACTCGATCCCTCACCTAAACACGGAGCTCAAGCGTCTTTTATTCCTAAACAAGTGTGTGTGTGCGTGTGTGTGGGTGTGTGCGGGTGGGGGTAGATGACCACCATCGGTTTGCGTCGACCAAGTGGAAAAAAACCAGGACCCGTTTTCCAGCGGCAGCCATTAATAAGAGGGACGTCAGGCCCAGTCACCGAGGCCCAGTGAGGAGCCAGGCGCCAAACGACAGCTTCCCGCTCACCGGGTAAAAAGCAACGCCCGCCCGTACCCCCGCACCCCCCACCCACCCCTTCCTTCCTTTCCGCACCTGCTTGAGCCTGGCGATCAGCACGTTTTTAACGCCGCTGGTGTCCAAGTTCCGCCGCTTCAGCTCGGATTTGAGGTCCACGACCCGCAAGTCCGTTAAGCGCCGGCCCTCGGGCGCGCTCGCCACAGCCGCCATTTTACGTTCCGAGCAGGTCTCCGGCTCCAGTCAAAGCCCGGCCAGGAGCCCGGATGCAAGAGGCTGCCGCCAAAGCCGGAAAACGAGGAGCCGGAGCGGCTGGGACTGGGACCGGCATCGGGTGGGAAATTGGAGCAGACTGGAACCGGAAATAATCATCGTGATAATCGTCGCGATCATAATCGGTTGCGTTTGGTACGGCGCCCTGGTTACGCCTTCGCGACGCCTCGCGGGATAGGCTGCCAAGCGAATTTACTGTGAATGTGGTGTGATCGAAACGCCGCGGCCGGTCTCGCGCGCAGCAATGTCCCGGTCGCGAACAGCTGTCGGCCGGAGAGTTGACCGGTCTGCCCTGGAGTATCGCTCACGCAGCAACGAGGGAGGAGATGCAGTCGCTCGCTGGGAGCTTGCGTTTGGTCTGCATTCAACTGACAGCGCAGGGCGTCCCCCACTCCTCCCAGCTCACTCGTTTATCCCCCGTTGCTCGTGTGCCGCCAGCGATAGGACCGAACTGGAATGCGCTTAGTCGGCTGTGTGCCGGGGAAAGGGAATCGTGGCATCGGCGGGCGTGGACGGGGACACGGGCCAACAATGCTATTTGCTGTTGGGACTTGGGCTCTTCTTGCAAATCTTTTCCACCCCCCCCCCTCGCCACCCACCCAAAAAAGATTCTAGTTATTAAACCACCCATCACTACCGGGGGCTTACTTTTTTTGGGGGGGGGGTGTGCGAGACAGGCTGTGAAGCGACGAACGGCGTCGCAAAGCACACGACAGGCAGACACAAATCGCGCGTCTCGTCAAACCCCACCGCAGACAAGACTCGAAAGGAATTTTTTTTAATCAAACCAAAAAAAACAAAAAAAAATCAAAGGCGGACGGTAGTCGGGGTACGACGGCGTGTTGTTACGCGGTGACCGTTTTTTTTTCGCGCGAGTGTGTGCAGCCGCAGCAGTTAAAAAAAATCGGCTCAGGCGCCTTTCAGGAGTCGCCGGCTGCGCATGCTCAGATACCCCCACCGTGTGTCACCGGCCGCTCCGTGTTTACCGGCTGCGTCATATGACGCGCCGCCAGCGCCCGGAGGGTTTTTTTTTACGCGTTATAAACTTTTTTTTCCACAACAACAAAACAAAAACAAAAAAAGATTTCCTTTTTTGACAGTCATCTTCGCGCCCGGTCGCAGTCTGTTCCCATGTTGTGTGTGCGTGTGTGCGCGTAAAATCAAACACACACGAGGGCGCGTCGCAGCCGCTTCGCGGGGGCTGAACAAAGCCGGTGTCGTAAAAATACACGGCGTGCGCAAGCGCGACAGAGCGAGGCGAAGCGAGCGCCCAACGGAATACGGCTGTGTCGTGAAGACGGAGCGCTCCTGCTTCCCGCCCCCTCCTCCTCCCCCAACAGTCCGACGCGTTTAACCGACGCTCGCGAAGCTCGTCTGTGTGGGGAGCGGAGCCTGAGCGAGCGAGAGAGAGAGAGAAAAAAAAACTGGGCCCCCTCTCTCTCTCTCTATCTCTCTATCCTCGGTGAACAAAACCCCGGGTTTCCCGAAGAGGCGAAAGAAGTGAGACGAAGAAGAAGAAGAAGAAGAAGAGGAAGAAGAAGAAGAAAAAAGAATTTAAAACAACAAAACAAAAAATGCCTGAATAAAAAAAAAGGCTCGGGGGTGGGGAGGAAGAGGTGGGGTGGGGGGGGGGAGAAAAAAAATGCGCGTCTCGCAGGACTTCAAGGCTTCGGTAAGATCGGTTTTCTCCGTCGTCATGTGGGGTTTTGTTTTTACTTTTTTTGTTTAATCCTCTTCCCCCCCCCCCCCCACCGCCGCCGCACACACACACACACACACACATATGTGTATATATATATACATATATGTGAAAGAAAAATCTCTCCCTCCTTTGCCGAAGGCTCCTCCGAGCCCTTGTTTTTCTTCCTTTTTTTTGTTGTCAGGGGAGGGAGAGGAGAGAGAAAAAAAAAGAAAGTAGTGAACACCAAAAAGTCTCGGCCTGGTCAGCTCCAGCGCATTTTGAGCTGCTGACGTTCGTTCGTTCGTTGGTTCGTTCGTGCGCTTTGAACCCCCCCCCCCCACCCCCCCCCCCCCCCCCCCCGCACAATCCACTCCACGGCGGCTGCCTGGGGCAGGAGGAAGGAAAGAGGGGAGGGGGGGAGGAGGTGATGGTGATGGTGGAGGAGTGGGGATAAAAAGTTGTTTCGATCTTCAATGTAATCTCCCTGATGTCTTTGAGTGATTTTTTTTTTTGGGGGGGGGGGAACATTCTTTTACAGACACACACACACACACACACACACCAGACCGACAGACATACGAACGGACGCACGCACAACCCGCCTTTCGCAGGGGGGAAAATTATTTTCAGAGGGGCTCTCTTATGCTAAGTTATGTAGGTGGTTGGTTGCCAGGGAGTGATGTCGGATTCTCGGTGGCTTTTGAATTGTCTGCTGATTGATTGAGCATGTTGCCGTCTGTTGAGAGGAGGACCAGAAAAGGGGGGGGGGGGGGAAATGTCGGGTGCGTTTTTCCTGTGTGTAAATTTCAGATGTCAAATTCTTGTGCCGGTTTGAGAAAGTATGGGGTTCAGCAGCGTATCCTGACGTTTAAGAGAGCCGGGTTTAAAATGGTCTAATCTGCTGAGTTTCTCTTCTACGGTATTGTTATTTCTTCCTTGTATGTTTTATTCCTTAAAAGGGGGGCATTCTTTTAAAATCGTAAAGTCTTTTGGGTTTTTTTTTGACAGCGATTAATCTTTGTGTGACATTTTGAAGAAGATCAGTTTTTGTTACAATTGTAAGTTTGGATATTTCAATTTTGAGGCCTTCTCTGACCAGAAATGGGATGGAACCGTATGATCCAGCAGTACATAATGTGGAATTGTACTGCATTTAATGCTATCAGGTATACATATTAATGTCCTTTTTTAAAAAAAAACGCGATTTGCAATTATTCATCAGTAACTGGCTCAATCTAAAGCTATTTCGAAACTAGGTTTCAATCATTTATGGCTTTGCCTTTTCAAATGAGACGACAAACTAGGTCATATTTATGCATTGCATTGGTTCATGCATTACATTGCAAGTGATTATCATGGAATGCATTAATTTATTTCTATTCACTATATGTGATTCAGTTTTACAAATAGTGCTGCTTTGATTGTAGATTAATTTATTGGATGAGCATACTATCTTTCCCTTGAATTTTCTTCCCTTACCCTTAGTTCCATGGGTCTTACAGCTTATAGGTATGTTCTTGGGATATGAGACCATGTGATTAGTGTAACCAAACTGTTCAACTCATGCAGCAATCAAGCACAGTTCTATTTCCACATGCACACTTACTAGTGGAGGTCGAGAGTTGGAGCCCTGCTTTATTTCCCTTCACAATTCCCAAACCTAAGAGTACTGGGGCTAACTATAAATAACCTCAGTGCTGCCCTGGTATGTTACAGACTCCCACCCCACATCTGTCAGGTATACTATATTTAAGACGACTGAGGAAACTATAATGCACATCTTAATTGTTTAGTTATTGTAGTTTGAATTGACTATATAGTTTTTTCTTTGTGGTGTCATGATGATTGACATGTGAAGTGTGTTGTAATAATCTGGTATATTCATCATCTACATACTGTCAACTATTCCTTTTTTTAAAAAAAAAACATTTTCTCAGGTTATTTTTAGCTAACATTTTTAGTTAACATATAACATTACACAAATCTTCTCTGACATATGTCACAGATGGCACAGTATTATAATTTACTGTGTCACTGAAATAGTATGGTGTTTTGGTATGGCATATATGTCAGCTTGCCTCATTTGGTAACACTCTTGCCTCTGGGTCAGCAGGTTATGGATTCAAGCCCCACATCATGATTTGAACCCGTAGTTGCAGGAGACACTCCAGTGTATTACTGGGGGAATGTTGAATTGTTGGCGATCTCATCTTTTAGATACGGTATTAAGATGAGTCATATGTCTGTTCAGGACATTGAAGTGATCCCATGACACATTGGGGAAAAAAATCTTCGCCCCGTATTCTAGCTAGCAATCGTCCAGATTCATTGATCATTCATCTCATGGCTGTTTGTTGGATGATGCTAAAGCATATTGCAACTGTGTTTGCCAACCAAGTTAGTCACGACACTTGACAGGAATTACACATGAGGAGCTTTTGAGACATAATAAAGTACTATAAAAATGTAAGTTTTTTCATTTCTGTTTTTCATACTATGAAAGCTGATGAGTCTGAAATAAAACAATTTTTTAATCAATTCTATTTCATAATAATAACATTTGCAAGAAGACATTTTCATATGAATATTAAATTAATGACTGAATTTACTTGGCCTGCCCGTGAATATATAAATAAACCTGCACTAGCTGAGAATAGTAGTCATTACTGGTTCTGTTTTTTCTACTTGATTATTTTCAAACATACCCATTTGTTTATGTAATAATATTTCACATGAAGGTCCTGAATGTGTAACTAATGATGCAGTAAAAAGTGCTACCGGACAATGTTGGGGGGAAGGGGGTTGGGGGTGAATTAGAGGAGCAGATGTATACAGTGAGTAACATCAGTTCTCCATTCGTGCAGCAATGTCAAACTTTGACTGACTCCATTTTACTACCAGGTTGAATAATCAATTATTCGGTCCGAGGAGAGGTTCAAGTCGGTTTTAGTAAAATAATATGGTTGACAGTGTCCCAAAACACTACCTTGCTGTTCCTCGTATTCCATGATTTAAGATTTTCTACCAAATATTGGATATAAATTAGTAGCCATGTAATCTCTGCTTTTGTTGTTTATTTCTAAAATTAGATGGCTGATTGATGGAAATAATTTAAATGAATTGGTGGCAATGTCTGCAGGTCCTGCTTGCATTTTAGCAGATGCGATTGAGTTGTCCTGTATGTTTAACCTCTGATTGACAGTTATAAACGTGAGTAGAAAGCACTTCTTAAAAGCCTCTACTGTCTATCTTTGGCCAATAATAAGAATTCGGATCATTTGTTTGACAACCTGAAATTCTTTTCTCATGTAAACTCTCAAACTGTTTAAAATGGTGCCTTGAATTCTATATTACAATTTCTGGAAATGTCAGACATGTTTGTTGGCCTTGTTCTTTTTATGTTCCAATTTTCGTTCTCATGATTTTCATGAACATGTTGAAATATGTTAAAATGTATTAAGTCTGGAATTGCACAGGCAATGATTCTTTACTAAAGGTGTTCATTATATAAAACGTAAAACCCAGTTTTGATAAAGGAGCTTATGCAGGAGGCAGTCTTCAAAGGTTAAATAATTTCAAACTGGAACTTCCCCATGAAACAGTAATAATCCGTGCATTTGATTTAGCATCTTTCACATCAGGAGGACGACCAAGCAATTCACAGGATTTACTGTAAAGTGTAGTGACTTATTGTAGGCATGCCGTACAAACAGCTATGAAGTGAATCACTAATTTTAAATTCAAACATACAGTCACTCCACTTTGCAATATACTGTATTCTGTGAAGCGCTTGTTTTGAGACGTCTCAATGACGTGGTAAGGTACTATATCAAATGAAAGCATTATTATTATTCTAGGCTAGGATACCGGGCGAAGCTCCCTTCTCTTCAAAAAATGCTATGGGTTCTTTAATATCAGTCTCATCGGGAATGTGAGATTTTGGTTTAATATTTCATCCGAAGGATAGCATGTCCAACAATATAGTGCTCCCTTAGTACTCTGGAAGTGTCAATCTAAATTGTGAGTTCAAAATTCCGACTTGAGGCTTGAACCCACAACCTTCTGTCTCAGAGATGAAAGTGCTTTCAACTGAACCAGCCTGACTCTAATGAATTCCTCTAAATAACTGGGTATTTAACACCTGGTATTTAACAATCTAAAACTCTGCGAAGTGAGTACCATTATTGTTATATTTACTCACTAATATTGCATTATTGGAGGTTTCTCCCCTTTTCTGCTGATAATCTTTGTGTAACAGTTCCAGAATTGTCCCCGTGAATCATTAATTTATTGGTGGAAAAGAACGGTATCTCTCACAGTAATGGTGTGTACTGTTATGATGGTCAAAAGAATACTTAGTAATTAGTCATTTAACTAAGATTTTACTATTTACGGTGAAATGTACAATATTAGACTAGTTTCAGCAATCATGAGTATACTGGAATACCAAAGCAGGGTTTCAAAATTTGCATGAAATATAGTTAATCCAAGCATAATATAGGATTAGGGCTAAACCATTCTTTTATTGTTTACAGTAGTATAAAATCATGTTCTAAAAAACAGTTCACTGTAAGTGATCTGAACAAATTCTTTTTGACAGTCTTGAAATTTTATCTATGGATATTCTACATCATTTTAAAAATCTTTTAAATCTGAGAGGATATTATAATAAGGTAGTAAGAAAATCAAACAGGCAGATGAAGTACTCTATAGAGTAGGCCTCAATTTATATTGTTGTAATGTTTGAAATCAAAATAGGTGCTGCAGCATCACTGAATCTGAAATTCGTATGCTGATGTATTTGGAGATAAGTGATCTTATTTTTTTTAACTGCCTTGGCCAATTAATTTGAGGGTTACATTATGGAAGGATGGAAAAATACCCAATAATATTACTTGAGATCATTATATAATTAGTGATGCATGAAGGAAAATTGATCAAAATTTGATGCTACATTGTCCTGAAGCACTAAGATTACAGAACAATGATTA